TTCTATTGTTGCTGAAAATCGTTGTTTATTCTTTAATCATTAAAAGAACTGAACTTTCCACAGATTATATATTGTTCATGAGTGGTAGTCATTTAGCGTTACGTCAAGTAAACTACATGTTTCTTTGCCCCAAAATAATGTTAAAAAAACGAATTAATTGTCATCTAGGACCCAATTAAGTAACTATATTAGTAACTAGCTGTACCCGCGACTTCGTCCGCGTGGAATTTACCTTGATTTTTCTAAAATAAAAGTAGCCTAAGTTACTCCTTATTACATCAGCTACCTACCAAAAAAATCCTGTCAAAATCGGTCCAGCCATTTCTGAGATCAGCCGGAACAAATAGACAGACAAAAATTATAAAAAATGTTATTTTGGTATATGTAACGTATATACATTCATATGCATGTAGTAAAAAACGGTTATTTCAATATTACAAACAGACACTCCAATTTTATTTATATGTATATATGAAATATATGGGTTTGAGATTTTCTACGAGCCATTTGAGAATTGCAGATGCAACTGAAGTTTACCCAGAAATGGTGCGTACAAAATTATAGATTTTAATTTGGTTCACATAAAATATATTAGTAACAAGTTACATACATAATTTAACATCTATTTCAACGTGTTAAATAATGTATGGGTATATTTATACCCATATTTTAATTTACAGATTTATTATTATATATTTTTATTGGCATAGACTAAGATTTATGAATCTGGATGAACTTAAGGGCAGAGGAAAATCGAAGAGATAGCTGGACTGTGTGAAAGATGATATAGCAAGAAAGGGAGTGGATATATAGATGACTGCGAAGGATTAATGAAGGAGGAAAACATTACTCTGATCTCAAAAGTATGGGATAAGAAGCATATCGGCGGTTAAATAAAAAAATAAAAATGGCAGTATCCAAAATGTACATTTTTTACAAAGCATTTGAAGAGTTTTTTTTTATTTAATTAAATTATTTTTTCCTTTAAAGTTTTAAATTTACACAGAAATATTATATATCATTTTAAAATTATTTAGATAATGATTAAGACGGCGTGGTTAATTTAATTTACTATATTTTATATATTTATATAAAAGGAGGCAATTCTAGCTTCTAATTTTGAAAAATGTCATTTTTATATTTACCTAATCGACGAAATGATGATGGGTATAAGGACGCAAACTATATATATATAATTCTAATTAGTACTAATATAGATAACACCTATACATATGTAATCTGTGGTAGAGTGCAATGTATTGAATTTTTAAGGTTACGTTATATGAAATATTAAATTATCATTTGATTGACGAGTAAGTACGTACATTTATAAGTCTAGATCGTAAGTAAATTTAGTAATTGTATCATAAACCTCTACGTGTGTTAGCAATGTCCTTGTAAATTGTGTAGATACTTCAAAACTATATTATATACATAACGCTGTGATATGATTTTGTTATTGTTGGCTGTATTTTTAAATAATATAATATGGTAACACTATTATCTTATCTATGCGAGTAATTGAATATAGGTGTCCTTTCTTTTTTTAAACTCTGTAAGGTATTATTACGATTAGGCTGTATGGTCCTGTATCTCTGCGAATACACACCTGTAAATAAAATATACTTACATTTTTAACTCTGATCTGCGTAGAGAATTTCCAGGGCCGTAAAAATACTTACTAAAAAAACTGCTAAGTAATTTAAAGTATTTAATTAAAAGTAAACTAGGCTGTACGGTCTAAATATCTTTGCCTGTTTCATCATTGAAAAGGAAATGCGGGCGGGAAAAAAATGAAAAGTATTTAAACAAATTATATACCAATAATTTACGTTAAATGCATCAAAATTATTGATTAAATTATTATACATTGAATTAATTTTAATAATAATTGTTGAATCCATTTGTTCATTGTTTTGTTAAAAAACTTTATAATTAAATTACTTTAAATGACAAGAAAACATGTTTGAAATATTTTAAAAACAATAATTGCAATATTCTCTAATACTTACACAAAATAATGTTGTTAAATAAAAAAGTGTATTTCTCTAAGCGATACTTACCACATATAGAAAAGGCCAATTTTCTTAAATCTTCCTATATTTACTTATATATATTTATTAGAATACTGGTGTTATTCAGAAATTATAATCTTTTGAAATTAGACGTTAAAACCAATGTTATAAAGGGTACTTTCCAACATTTGTAATGTTTAAGTTTTGTAATAAATGTGCTATATTTACTACCAGACTTCAAAGAAACTCTGCATTTCTATTTAAATTGTTAATATAATAGTCTATATTGTGTAAGATATAAATTAGAATCTTTATCAATGTAACCATAATAGTTTTCTTCCATAAAGATAGCGTAGTGACCTAGGCTACTTACTCCCAAGTGTTGGCTAGTTGAAATTGTTGATTACAAAAAAATTGTGATTTTTATTTATAACTATATCAGCAAGCAAACTGAATGTTTATTTATAACCAATAGGGCGGGAGTTGGCTACCACCTGCTCCATAAGTCCTTCCTTTGGTTTGGTGTGCCACCTGCACTTACCTAGGCTACTTACTCCCAAGGGTTTGGCGATTCAGTCAATTCCAAAAAAACTGAACGTTTATTTATTTATTTATTCATTTATTTCAGGCAACTAGGCCCATATTATAAATACCTTATAGACTAACATACATATAATATAATATTTAAAAACTAATACAATAATATTGTCTGTGTGATCACGGCACTGAAGACGGCAATCTGCCACGGTAGCGCCGATACACCACACCTTACGGCCAGTAGTCCTCTTTCATGAAGGTGGGCAGCAAGTCGGTGGGGACCAGGGCCACAAACGCTTTGAAACTTGCGTTGTGACTCGACTTCAGCTGCGTTACCTTCAATGTCAGGTTACTCTTGCTACGAATATAATCGACAATGTCCTGCTCCTTAGTGGCGTAATGTAGACGGGACAGGTACATTGTCGTGGTCGGTGTAGCAGCACGCAGCAGAAAGTTGGGCCCAGTGAGTGCAGTGCCACAATGATTCCTATTGACGAAGCCATCATCGTCGCCGTTCCCAGTGGCAGCACACGTAGGGTCAATGTTCAGTGCCGATTTTGGCACACGCCGCTGTACTGATATCATACTGTACTGACACTTTATAACTATACCAGGCGGGAGTTGGCCTTCAGCCGCTCTATAAGTCCTTCCTTTGGTTTGCAGTGCCATCTGCACTCGCCCACTATCGTCCGGTGAAGCTGTAAAGGCCAGCTGCGGCCAGCATTAGAGTAGCACGAAAAAAATTATAACTAAATCTCTGGTAAATGAAACACCAATATCAATCCAATAGACGGCGGGCGGTAGGTTCGTATCCTGCCACGTTAAATTCAAATGTACCGAGCGAAATGTGGACATGTCAAATGTTGCGTTCACCATATATTCGACAGTTGATTTTTTTATTTATTGCAATTTTTTTGACAAATACTGGTTGATATTTTTTTTTGTTTATGGTAACATTTTTTGACATTTCTAATTATAAGCAGTTGTTTTATCTTTTTTATATATGCCAATTATTTTGACAATTTCTAGTTACAAGCAGTTGTTGATATTTATTATGGCAATTTGTTTGACAATTTCTAATTATAAGCAGTTGTTGATATTTTTTTATTTATGGCAATTTTTTTAACAATTTTAGTTAAAACAGTTGTTGATTTTTTTTATGGCAATTATTTTAAAAAAATTCTAGTTGTAAGCAGTTGTTGATATTTTTTTATGGCATTTTTTTTAACATTCTCTAGTTATAAGGAGTTGTAATTCAATTTTGTAGAAAGTAGATCGCCCATATGTATGTATTAATCATATATTATAATGCTGTATCCAATTAATAAATGTGTTTATTTTAAGAGGTTTATTTTCTCATTTAGTCATAAATTTAGATCCCGATAATCCCGATTTAGATTAAAAGGTGGTAAGTTCAAATCTGGCAGTAACAAAAAACATTATTTAGCACATGATGCTACGCTAAGGGTTTACTCCAGCATCAGTGGAGGATGATAGGATGAGCATGATATCTGGTAAGCTAGTTTGAATTCATCAATTTAAAAAGGGATTGAAATTTCGAAGACTTGGACCAAGGTTCGAACAGGGCCTTCGACCTTTAGATTGAATTCATATCCATCAGGCAGCAGTTGACTTTCAGCCGTTTCGTGAGCTGGATATAACAGTTACGGCGAGCATTAACATTGTAATGGATCGGTGGACTGTAGGAGATTTTAAATGATGAAAACACGTATATAATATGATAGTAAAATATATTTCAATACAGTTGCGAACTGAAAGGACAGTGAGAGAATAATATAATAAAGTGAAGTATATCAAATAACATGACATATAAACAAAGAACTCTTCAAAAATATAAATTTAAAAATAATAAAAATATCAAAAGTCAGTCGCCAACAAGTATATTTATATAATTATAGAACTCCATAATAAATAATATATTATTCTAGAGAATCCTATTTAAAAAAAAACCTCATAATGTTTTACCAAAAACTTTATTTCAGTACTTAATACAACGGTCCGTTACGAATAAATATGTTCTGACTACCAATTATGTCTTCTCAATAATGTTTTTTTTCATTTCTGAATTTGAGCGCGTTTCATCGCAATCTCACCTGATGTTAAGTGATGAGGCGGTCTCAGCAGTTACACAAGCTCAAATAGTGTTTATTCAATCTTGACTTGAAAGACCCAATGTTGTAAGAGGCAGGAAACAGACGCTGGTAGAGAGTTCCACTCCTTAGCTGCTCGCGTAAGGAAAGAAGATGCAAATCGGTTGGTACGAGCAGCTGGGATGTCAACAGTGTAGGGGTGGAGCCGCTCTGTACGTCCTGTTGTACGAATACTACTTGTTGCACTAGGAAAACCTTATTTAACTCAAATTGGGTGTTTTAATTTTTTTTGGACAACATCCATAATACACAAGTCTTGTTAAAATGCCAACTACAGTCAAACCAGGGTGCCCTTGTCGTTAGATTTTTTCCCTCTCTTACACGGTACAAGAATTTGCTCAGTCCACTCCCTGACCATCTCCAGATCCTTCACTTTCTTCGGCTTCCCCGTCTTTGGATTTATAGGAACTTTCCCATGAGGCGTCAACATATTCTTCGCTAACGATAAACCGTGTTTTCTTTTCATGTGTTTGTTACAATTCGACCAATTCGCAAACCCCATAGCGCAGACCGTGCAGCTGAACGGCTTAGCTCCAGTGTGCAGGTTCTCATGAGTCTTCAAAACGTTCTTATGCCGAAACCCCTTGCTACAATACTGGCAAGAATACGGCAAAAGGTCCGAATGCGTTATCATGTGACCCTTCAAATGATCCTTTAATCTGAAGCGCTTAAGACACACATTGCATTCAAACGGCTTATCCGCATAGTGCGTTTTGACGTGTTTCTTCAATCTGGTCAGAGTTAGAAAGGTCTTCTTGCAAATCTTACACACTTCAGGATCGACATCTCTGTGTATATATGTATGTGTACACAGAGCACCTTTGGTAAAGAAGGTTTTGCCGCATCTATCGCACGTATAGTTCCTATTTCTGTCTGTATGCAGTAGTTTGTGGGCTCGCAAATTGGAGAGACTCTTCGCAACTCTATGACAAACGTTGCATGTTAATTCTTCAACTGTGATAGGTTTCTCTCGTTTTTTAAATGGTATCCGTTTAGACTTTTTGACGTATGCAGTGATATGGCGTTGGAGATCTACTTTGCTGGTGAACGATTCGCCACAACTCTCACATTGTGGTAATTGCAAATGCGTGTTTATATGGATGTTGGTTAATTGTTTATCATGAAATTTAGCATCGCAATATTGACAGTGGTACCTAGAATTGCAAGTATCTATATATTAATAAGGTACATCAAAAAGTTTATAGCCCTTTTTACGAAAATTACGCTTACTAAGGAGTATGAAATTTTGCACACTTATAGTTTATATAAAGCACTCCCTATGCAGAATGCTAATATTTTATTAAATTATCCATATAAATTACAATTATTCAATAAAAAATCTTTACACTCGCTACCAGGTATTTGAGAAATACACGCCTATACTCAAGGGTGGATCTACCTAAGGGCTGCAGCCCAAGGCCCCGAGGATACAAAGGACCACTGAAACGATATTTAGAATATAAAAAAATATCTAGAATGTTAAAAGGTTGATAACCTTGATAACTCACCTCAACTGTGGTCTATGGAATCTCACATGTTCAATGAACATATCAAATGTTTTAAAAACTTCATTGCAATCGCAGCATTTCATTCCGAAGCATTTTCCATGCACTTCCTTCACGTGGCATCTGAGTATGTACTGGCAGGGGAATCTGGTACAGCAGTACTGACAAATCCATGGATATACCTTCCAAGTATCAATTTCTAACTTGTTCACATCATATAATCCTATTTCGTATGATATAAACTCTTTTAATTCATTTACTTTATGTTTTTTTAATATTTTGGGTGTATTTTGATATAAGTCCTTATGGTTGGCAAGTAATATGTCATTCGGGAAAGTTTCTCCACAATATTTGCAGTTGGATTGTGTGTGTAGCTTCAAATGGTCCATATCCTCCAGCTTTATATTGCAGTATGGACAGTAATGACTGAAAAGAAACAATTGCAATAAAACAGCTTTTAAGATGAAACGGTTTATAATAATAGTATAATTGATGTACTAGAAATAATCCAGCTAGGTAGATCCAATTTCGAGAAAGAGGTTAACCGTCGAGTCCAACTCGGATGGGCAGCGTTCGGGAAGCTCCGATATATCTTTTCGTCCAAATTTCACTGCGGAAATAATGACGAAGGTCTACGACCAATGTGTGTTGCCAGTGATGACTTCGGCACAGAGACGTGGTCGCTAACTATGGGTCCAATGAACAAGCTCAGAGTCACTCAGAGGGCAATGGAGAGGGCTATGCTCGGAGTTACTCTGCGTGATCGAATCAGAAATGAGGAGATCCGCAGAAGAACCAGAGTGACCGACATAGCCCAAAGAATTGCGACTCTGAAGTGGCAATGGACAGGGTACATAGCTCGTAGGACAGATGGCCGTTGGAACAGTAAAGTCCTCGAGTGGCGACCACGGACCGAAAGACGCAGCGTGGGAAGGCCTCCAGCAAGGTGGACCGACGATCTGGTCAAGATCGCTGGAAGGCATTGGATGCGAGCAGCGCAGGACCGATCGTCGTGGAGATCTTTGGGGAAGGCCTATGTCCAGCAGTGGACGTCTTCCGTGCTGAGATGACGATGATGACTAGAAATAATCTTTATTCAAATAGAGTCAAATCTGCTCATAGTTCCGGGACTGATTGCAGATAAGAAAAGAGAAAAAAAAAAAAAAATAGAGTCAATACAAGCACTATTAAACAGTCATATATTTTTATTCTATCAATCATTCAGTGACTGAATTTATATGAACTAAATATGACTGTTTAATAGTGCTTGTATTGACTTTACTTGAATAAAGATTATATACTCATCACAAGATGAAAGCACAAGAAACTTGTGTTTTGTCCTTTTGAAAAAACATGTGACATTTGAATCTTTTTTTACTGAAAACATAAATATAGGAATAATCGAATAATAATATTCGAATTGTCACTCGAATATCGGAATTCTCCAAAGATTCCAAACTGCATCCTAAAGTGCATCTTAAAAGCTGCATGGTTCATCACAAACTCTGAAGTTCACCACTTTGCCAACATCGCCACAGTCAGGGAAGAAATTGGGATATCAAGTATCAAATATAAGGCCCGGCTTGCTATTCACTTAAACGAATTAGCTCAGAAGCTTCTAGTCAACAACCCAGCAAAAAGATTAAAAAGATCAAATATCCTTGAGCTGGATGAAAGATTTCTAGCTAGCTGAAACATGGGGACCTTGTCAAAGGATTGAGATTCTCCCACGTCTACTACCAACAACTCACCTGCTTATAGTACCAGTACTGATTGCAGATACCTAACTTTAAAAAAAAAAAGGAATATTCGAAATGGAGGTTTTTTTTAACAAATAGGCAACTAACTCAGCGTAAAGCTACACACACACATAAATCTATAGAGCTGATATTTTTTTGGCTCTTTTACTTAAAAATAATATATATATATATGGTAAGCTTCAAGATAATTATTTATTGTTGTAAATTTGTATTCAATTGTATTTAATGTTTTAAAGAATCAAATATCCTCACCATTGCTTCTTAATACATCTACGAAAATATTATGTATGCCAGGAAAAACATTAACAGTTTTAAAAAAGTAGGTGATTACACTAATAAAAGTTACACTAATAAATAATATTTAAGTGCTATTTGCGGTTTTACAACAAACTCCCAGAGTCTATAGTCACTTTGCCAGAAAAAATATCAAATGTGTCATAAAATATTTTCTTTGTAAAAAAGCTTATTACAATTGAATTATAAATGATAATAATGTTTTTGTAGAAAATATCTAACTTAACATTCATAGCCCTGACAATGTTATCTGATTGAACAGAGATTAAGTGCATAGCAGTTTCTATGTTGATTGTCGCATGCCTAATCCTTGTTGTTAATTAAATATAAGCAAATCAACACACAAGTTTCTTGCTTATTCTTCTTGTGATGAATCTGCATTCCGAATAAGCGGCAGAATAAAAAAACTTGACTATTCAAAAGTTTATAAATATCAACCATGGCTAATGGTTTACTTGATATATATATGATATTATTTGTGTTAAAACCAGTATGAGATAATTAATTAACATCTATACATATAAATAATATTGTAGCGTCTGTTTGTAATATTGAAATAACCGTTTTTTACTACATGCATATGAATATAAATACGGTACATACACCAAAATAAAATTTTTTACAATTTTTCTCTGTCTGACTGTTGTTCCGGCTAATCACTGAAATGGCTGGACCGATTTTGACGGGACTTTTTTTTGGCAAGTAGCTGATGTTATAAGGAGTAACTTAGGCTACTTTTATTTTAGAAAAATCTTTAATTTTAGAAATGTAAAGTTAAATTCCACATGGACCTAGTCGCGGGAACAGCTAGTTTATAATAAAATTTACAATTAATCTCACATCAATTCCTTCCTATGTTCTCGAGCATGATCCACAAATGATATGAAATCATTAAAACCAATGTGACAATCAGCACAACGGAATCCGCTGCAAGAACTATGCAACTCTTTACAGTGGTCTCTCAATCCCATCATATCTATACATTCCTCATCACAGAATTTACAGGGAAACATGTAACTTGTCCAGGACACATCTCGCTTTGCTGTTTCCGTGTCAAATACAAAATCATTCAAACATTCTGTATTTATCCCAGTATTAATATCATAATTAGCATATATTTCTTCAGTTTTACACTCATCTAGATCCCCACTTTCATTTTTCACGCACGATGAAGGTACGTTCTCATTTTTTAATAACTTATACTGGTTACTTAGTACAACTTGGGAGTCCTTGATTTTGACGAAGAATTCATAACACGACCTAAAAACGTCGTAGCATTTCAAACATACGGCTTCTGGTAATGTTTTATCACTGAAATCTATTATATTTATGTTGAAAAATGCAAGTTTGGTCATAACATCTGTCTTCGTTCGAGAGTCGCTTGCAAGATCTATATATTGTGGTGGATTTGTGTTTTCGGCGCAAAATCTGCAATAAATTGTGTTATTTGCACTCATTTTTATTAATTTACACTTCTTTTGATTACTAAATCATTATTTATTATTTAATAAAATAAACAAACAAATATAACAGCTGATCTTATTTTGACAGCTGTAATTTTTTTTTGTCCCATATACGTCCATCTCCTTTTCAATGATGGAACAGGCAAAGATCTTTAGACCGTACAGCCTAATCTACCAGCTGACAGTATTAAAGACACATTTTTTTTTTAAATCATTCTACTCAGCAAAAACACCGTATCTATTCAACCATTCTTCATTGCTTCGTGTCCAGATTATTTATTTATAAATGTTGTGAATATTATTACTATTTTCACATAAATATGACAATGATTTATATATATTATTATAAATTTTAGTAATTCTTTATATAGCAACTGGTGATAGTTATATAGATAGAATATTTAATTTAATTCACCTCGTCACTATTTTATTATTTTAATATAGATGGGATTGGATGGGTTTATGCATGAAATGGAATAATGCGTGAAAAGGAACCATAGATGTGTAAGAAAGAGAGAGAGAAAGCGGGAGAAACAAAAGGAAATAGAACGAAAAACAGACTAGGACAGAAAAATAAATGGAAGTTTGACAGACATAGTAAACATTATATTACTACAGTGATTCCCAAAGTTGTCTATATCGACCCCCAGGGGTCTATAACAAACTGCAAGGGATCTACGACAGCGATCATCTTGTTCTTAACTGTATGTTTTAACACTAAACTTTATTACAGTTAGAAATTTACAAAAAAGAATGGCGGGAAAAATATGGCAAGTGGTTTACGACACAATGTTTGGGAACCTCTACATTAGATGGTTAAAAAAAGACATTACAGTAAAATGTTATTTATTTACACGTTTTAAATAAGTACATAATTAATAATTATATTAAAACTTAATAGTTTGCCGTACGAATCTTGGGCTAGTACTTTATTACCCAATTTTACTCATCGTGTTATATTTTACTTTATTTTTTATTATACCTGACGTCCGGCTCGGTAAGACTTTTACAGGCAACCTATATATTAATACTAGTGGTTCACTCTGGCTTCACTCGAATGCTTATTTTTGAGTATTGTATATATTAGCATAATATAACTATGTTATTGTGGAATAATGTACAGTAGTACCTCGACATATAAGTTTAATTCGTTCCGTAACCTTGTTCGTATCTTAAAGTGAATTTCCCCATTGAAATTTCACCTGTAGCTCATTTAAAACTGTCTAAGGAGATATGTTTAAAAAAACTATCCAAGGAGATTTGTTTAAAAAACTGTCCAAGGAGATTTGTTTAAAAGAACTGTCCAAGGAGATTTGTTTAAAAGAACTGTCCAAAGAGATATGTTTAAAAAAATTGTCCAAGAAGTTTTGTTTAAAAAAAAAACTGTCCAAGGAGATTTGTTTAAAAGAACTGTCCAAGGAGGTTTGTTTAAAAAAACTGTCCATGTAAATTTGTTTAAAAAACTGTCCAAGAAAGTTTGTTCCTACCTTTGAGGACATTACGGAAATCAGTTCAATCAAGTTTCGTTGAATTACTCTAATGCATGACTATTTGCATCTTTTTCGGGGTGATTTTTAACTCTACAACTTTCTCCCACATTCCCAAGATCTCCTTTATATCTTTCGTTGAGATCTCCTACATCTCTGGCAGTATATCGCTACACACGACATCAACATTCAATTCATCGTATCTCAAATATTGCTCCCATCTTAAAGCCCGCCAGAAACTAAAATCCATCCTGACCATCTGGATGAATGGCGGTCCTCCACAGCGCGGTTTTCTAGAAACTTGCCTCGCACAACCACATAGTGGAATTACCTTCCAGCAATGGTATTTCCGAACCGATACGATATTGGAACCTTCAAAGAGCTTATTCCTTTTTAAAAGGCCGACAACCTACTTGCAATTCCCTGGTATTGCGGGTGCTCATGGGCGGCGGTAATCACTTACCATCAGGTGATCCGCCTGCTCGTTTGGCCCCTGTGTTAAAAAATCTCTTGTTCTCAAATTCAACTCTAAATGGGCACAATTTTTTTTATACTACGTAGGTAGCAAACGAGCATACGGCTATAGGTATATCGAGGTACCACCGTACTTACAAATGGTCAAAGAATGTGTTAATAAGTTCCGGAGTTTATTCATATATTAGTACAGATCAGTGGGGAACAATGGCATAGTAGCCATTTTTAGTTCGAAAAACGGATTTAGATGGCGTCATTGGTATCGAATGGAATTCAACATTGTTTTGTAATCGTTTAAAACCCAAAACTATGTTTTTAAAAAGGTTTAATCTATTTTTAAAAAGTCATATATAGATGTTAAAATGAAATAATGCGTTTTGAAAAGTAATTTTCATATATTTACTCATTTTGTTGTTGCCCTGTATTTGTTTACAATTTAATCATTGCTAATTGGGGCTTATTGTTTCCAAAATACTTTCATAGATGGCGCTGTTTTCATTTGTATCATCGTATTTTAAATGTTTATTTTATATTTCCAAATAATAAGTACTTACTATATTATTATGATAAATTAAACATAAAAAAAGTTTAAGTAAATATAAAACAGCTAAACAAGAAAACCATATTCCAGTAATACTTATTTAGAACGTATTGCCATATTAAAAATAAATGCATAGATTTATCGATTTTTTCGAATAATCGATAACAGGATATTACAACGCACTATTCGATGGTGCTTTTAATTAGTCTTTGTAAACAGTAAAATTTCATCATTTTGTATTATACTCTTATTTGGAACGAATTGCATTGCATAATTTTTACTCGACGACGGCAAAATAGAGAGATTTTGGCAGGTATGCAAGTACTATATATTTATCTGTTCGCTCATAACTTCGAAACTTGAAAAGGGAAATATTAATTAGATTGATCTGATACAAGTGTACTCTATTATATCAACCTCCACACGGTCACCCTGGTAATTATAGCAATGTCATTACATTAGTAACATAGTTCTTCTATTAAAAAAAATAAATACCTACTTATTGTTATTTAATGAATGAGAATTGGATGTGGTATAGAGTATATAAGGTCAGCTATACCTTTATGAAACCTCAATAAACAAGTGTTATATGGTATCTAAATTACTGACATTGATAGCTAAATATGAGGATCCTCGAATTTTTACAAATACTCATAAGAAACTTTACAAATACTCGAATTTTGCTTTTGTAGAAGGATATTTTCAACCTTACTAAATTGTACAAGGTTTTGAAACGATAATCATTCATAATACTATGATTATATATATTACTGATCCTAGTACCTACTATTCATGATAATTAGTTTTTTAATATCTCCATTCGAGGGTAGGTTATTCATAATTTATATTATTAGATTTCATCACAAATAAAAATATCGATTTTAAATCGTAGGTTGGTCCATATTTTTTTATTATATCGAAATGACAACGAGTACTGGCAACATATGTAAATGAAATGTTAAAAATGTAAAATATAGGAATAAAAGAATAGGATAAACGACTTTAAGTCAAATGCTTAAAACATATTTTCACTAGCATTGGATTTTTTCTCTTTTTTCATCATTTAAGTTAAGTAGGTACTTCAACTTTTGAATTGTTCCTGTTCAGAGTTCATTGAACTTCTTATTTTTTTGTCAAACTCAATAATTTAAATGTGTCTAAGGACTACTACAAATATTTAGTAAACTATCGTGTCTTTGAGGATTATCTCATACCAGGTATAACTATAAGTTGTTAAAAACTTGCATATGTATGCGTGTGTATCTTTCATATTAAAATATAATAAACATAGGTACTTGGTGACCGCTTTAATGTGGTATTATTATGTTTTTATTATTGTTATGAATGTAACTTCAAAAAACTAACACTGATTTTATAATTTTTGATTGATTGAGAAAATACTGAAAATTATTAATCAAAATAAAGTACTAAACAGTAGTATTATTTTTATATTTTATTAGAACTGAATGAATATGATGTATGAATAATATGTTTATTGTGCTAATAAGGTTACAGTTTAGTTACTTTCATGTAAATTCATTCATGTAAGTTCATGAAAATGTAACATAGGTATATGATATTGTTTTCAGATTTTCCTGACATCAACAACTTAATACTGAACAAAGTTTAAACAAATAAGAGATGATATTCTATATCTCCTAGTCATTCAGATGAAGATAAATAACATTTTTACTGTAAAGATCAGGGGTTCAAAAGAATAAGAAATATATATGTATATATGAACATTTTACTGTATAAAATAATAATGCAAGTAAAAATAAGAGAAAAAAGCAGAAGAAAAATCTGTAAATTATTAATCACAATGCAATTAATAATATAATTAAATAAGTAAGAAAGCAATGGACTAGTGATGAGAAGAAATTCCAAGTAATTATATTATGTGTAACCGACTGCAAATAAGTTTATGATTTAAGCATATGATTATTATTATATTGCTTCATCAACAAATCCAGGAATATTTTGTGTACCAGGAATTAATTATGAAATGATTTTGATGAAATATTATGTCTTGATATTGATTTATTTGGAATATAATATCAAAATAACAGAAGTGTTTGAAGTTTTAGTGGTATAACAGACAAGCAGTGAAAGAAATATTATTGTAAATTATTAACAATTGTTTATTCTGTGATTAATAAATTATTTAAAAGTGTTTTGTTACCTGAAATAAAAATTTTATGATCTTCAAGTGTTGTGTTCATGCAATGTTAGTTTCACCTCATTCGATTTAAAATGTCAGGAATTATTTACTACATAATGATTTTGTATTAGATGGTAATCATATATATTTTTTAATGCAATGTGTGTAATAATTCCCATTTACATCAAAAAACTTTGTGTAAATCTATATTTCTGTCTATAGACTTTGGTCGTGGAATACTAATAAGAAACTAAATCTAGAGACTGTAGTATATCACAACATCCCAGAACTTTGTATTTAAGTCATATAAGGACTTAGTACCTACCTAATACTTGCTACTTTTTTAATCAATTAATTAATTTGATCTCAATCATCATGATGAACAATGATGATAATGTTGAGAATACTGCCAATGATGAATTTTATGGTGGTCATAAATAAATACCACCGTCACTATCGTCAACAGTCATTATTGATCTCATCATCATCACCGTTACCCTCCCTCATCCATATTGTCAAAAGTTACTACCTACTATTATTAACTGAAATGGTAAATAAGCTGACGATCCAACCAACCACGACGCTATCCGACGTACATACATACACATATATTATTAAACAGCATTACGTCATCATGTCGTGCCCGCTATATCCCGCATACGTTATCATTCCGGAGAACATAGATGTTATGTCCAAATATCCTGTAATTTCGCAGCTTAATTTCAACTGAATAACAACTTACAACAAAACCAAAAAACTAGCAGTAAAGGCGTAGTTTGTAGATATCGAAGGTTCTACAAATAGGTATAACATCAAAATAAGTACCTACATGTCATTAGCACCGATGTAGTATCCCTGAAAGAACCTACATATAACAGATTGATGGTTTGCAGATATTATTTTCAGTTTTACAAATTGCCAGTTTACCATAATTAACTACGTATTGAGAAATAATTATACACTGAAAATTATATGAGGTACCCATATTCACATCAATTAATTATAGCTAAAATCTATCACTATCACATAACAATTTAAATAAAAAAATCCGTATTAAAATCGGGCTATTCGTTAAGGAGCTATTGCTCCTAACCGATAGCCCGATTTTAGTGCAGACGCGTTACGACATATCTTCGTCGTGAGAAAAAAGTAGGCATGTAAAAAAGTAACTGTAACATAGTACATAGATACATAGGTACATTAGCCGTGTCTGTAGACTGTCAGCGAACAATATTATACCTACATTGAATTTTCGATTGTACCCAATCAGGAGTTCGATACAGTTATATATCTATTATGTACGTATCTTTGCAAAACAGATGTCATGTAGACCGAATTCTCTGCCATCTATTTTCATGCTTTATTACTAATCACCCACTAGTAATCCGAACTGCTTCAGATATAGCGACATCTATCGCCTACGGCGGCGAAATAAAATAGCCCGAAGAATAGCCCGAGTTAGGAAGGAACCATTTTCTTATATGGGATGGGGTATCTGTATGTAATATTATATTATCTGTGGTACAGATACATAACTAAGTACAACGGAAATCTTGTACACGTTTGCCTAAATCATAAATGGTAATATTCACTTAATAAAATAGTCTAAAATAAACTTCAAATAATACATTGTGAATTAAATCAGCCATGGCCGCCGGTAGGACATCTATGGTGAATCAGTTAAGTAGTTAGGTACCCAAGAACCCAAAAAAAAAAATGGCGCTCTTTACATTACATTACATTATTTTATTAAAACGCACATATCGCTATCCGTCAAAATGACAACACTGCCAACCCACAGAAAGAATTTAAGGGAATTCCAAAGGTATAACTTTCGAATTTCTGGTAAGGGTTCGAGGGCACCCTAAGCTTGAAGGCCCCGGGGCACTGCCCCGCTTAGCCCCTAGGTAGCTACGCCACTGAACAACGTTTTGCCATTCGTGCAAAAAAGTAAGTAAATAAGTACCGATGACATAATCATCATCTACACTCCCCCATCCCCCATGTCATCCAAAATAAGCAATCAAAGAATCCCCCCCCCCCTTTCTATAGTGCTTACGTAATACTTGAAGGACCCCTAAGTAGTTACTTTTTAAGATAGTGGTTTGGGATTAGCACAGCTAGTTGATTTATGAAGTTTACCCTTTATTTTCAAGGGCATATACAAACATAGTATAAAACAAAGTCGCTGTCGCTGTCTGTCCGTCCCTATGTATGCTTAAATCATTAAAACTTCTTTTTTTTAAAACCATTTTATATAGTGGTCTATGTGTAACATTAAATGAAAATCCCGTGCATGAACAACTATCGCCATGCACACTCGTCATTCAAGTAATCGTTTAATGAGTAATAGGCTTTGTTCAATAAACATGACAAATATTCAATATACTATTAACAGATGCTTTGAATTTAAAGGTAATTCCATTATACCCTTCGGTATCTTAGTTAGTACAAGCGGTACACGCGACTTCGTCCGCGTGGATTTTAACTTTATTTTTATGTATGCTTAAATCTTTAAAACTACGTAATGGATTTTGAAGCGGTTTTTTTAAAGATAGAGTGATTCAAGAGGAATGTCTATATATAATATATGTATACCCGTGCGAAGCCAGGGCAAGTAGCTAATTACATAGTATAAAACAAGTCGTTGTCGCTGTCTGTCCCTTTATGTACGCTTAAATCATTAAAACTGGGGGGAAGGTGATTGTTAGTAATATGGACTCATAACCCATGATCCCATTGCTAGCAATGTACCATGTCAGGTCGACCTCCACGCGGTTCTCCCTGGAAACCATCGTGATAAATTTCCGGTGAATTTGTCACGATGGGCTAACTGATCTGACTTCATGTTCATCCTATCATCCTCCACTGGTACCCCGCCAGCGTAAACCGTTAGCGCAGGCGGGTGCACCATTCCATTATCATCCTCTAAAAAAAAAAAAAAAAAATCATTAAAACTTTACCGTAATGGACTTTGAAGTGATTCAAGAGGAATGTTTATATATATAATACATGTACACCCGTGCGAAGCCAGGGTAGGTAGCTAGTACTAATTATAAATGAAAAAAGGTCTTCACTTACAAGTGATTGTATAGTTTCAATTCCTAGCTACCTTCTAAATCATGTACCGGCGGCCATAACTATTTCATATAAGATACTTGCTATTAAACTATAATACTTCATTTCAATAGATATAACATAATATTGATTAAAAACAATAAATTTTAAAACTTTATAATCATTATTATTAATTTAATAAATATAAAATTTAATTTTAAATAATACTACCGTAAAATAACGCAACGGAACTATATACATACAGCTATAAAACAGCTTGCCAGCTACAAAATTTCCTTGTTTCAGTGGAAAAAGTTTAAAAACATTTTATTACCTTAAAAGTCTAACAGGCATCACTTTCCATCTTTATTGCTTTCTTCTTCCCTCTCTTAGCGGGAATCATAATTTTACTCTTCCATTCCTCCATACCAACTACATCCTCGATCTGAACCATCTGCCCTGTTTCGGAATCTATGGGAAATACTCCATCCGGTGTAATTTTCTTCTTTGACGTATCCGTTCCGTGCCGTCGTTTCATATGTTTATTGTAATTCGACCAATTTGTGAACTCCATACCGCATTGCTGGCACGAATACGGTTTGTCCCCAGTATGTTGCCGCTCATGATTCTTCAATATCTGCTTGTAACGGAACGCTTTGTTACAAAACTGGCATATGTAAGGCATTGAATCCGTATGAACTATCTTGTGGGCATTCAGTTGGTATTGCAGCCTGAAACATCGGCCGCACTGCTCGCAGGAAAACGGCTTCACACCAGTATGCATCTCGACATGTCGCCGCAACATGTTCGGGTACAAAAATGCTTTATTACAGATCCTGCAGACGTGCGGACGGATCTTGTCGTGTGACATGATGTGAGATGTCAACGTGCCTTTGTTATAGAACATTTTGCCACACCTCTCGCACGTGTAGTTGCGTTTACGGTCAATTCTATGCAGCTTCATATGGTCACGTAGACTGTTAGGATTTTTGTAGACCTTCTTGCAATGTTCGCAGGTTAGATCTTCCACGGTGATGGGAGTTCCGGGCTTGCGACGAGGTTTCCTCTTCGATTTAACAGCAGCATACTCCTGCAAGTGTGCTTTTAATGTGTCTTCGTTTAATATTTCTCCGCACAACGGACATGGTAGTTGGGACTTTTTGAAGTGTTGCTTGAGATGGGTGCTGATGGAGTCCGCTTTGTCTAGTGTTTCGTTGCAATAATAGCAGTAGTTTCTGAAAATAATATTAATAATTTTATTATATTACTACCACTGGTATTACCATTAGAGTTGCCAGATTTTTTCAGCCCATAAGGGGTAAACGATTAAATAGGCAAAAAAATATGAGAATTCAGTTTTTTCCCAACACAATTAAAATTACATAGTGACTTCTTTTTTATATATCTTTCTGAGAAGGGGAAAGAAGTTTTAACATATTTTAAGACTATAGATCTTTGTTTATTTATTTAAAAAGATTAGATAGAAAAACATATTAGCCCGCCACAAAAAAAATGGGACCAAGACGAAGGGTAGTTTGATTACTGTTGTATAACAATAACTAGCTTTTGCCCGCGGATTCGCTCGCGTTAATTTATCCCCTTAGGGGTGTAATTTATCAAAATCCTTTCTTAGGGGATGCCTATGTCATAGTAGCTTTATGCATGCAAAGTCTCAGCCCGATCGGTTCAAAATTGACAAAGTGTCATACAAACTTTCGTCCCCTATTTTATTCCCTTAAGGGTAGAATTAATCAAAATCCTTTCTTAGCGGATGCCTACGTCATAACATCTACCTGCATGCCAAATTTCAGCCCGATCCGTCCAGTGGTTTGTGCTGTGCGTTGATAGATCACTATGTCAGTCACCTTTGAGTTATAAATATTTAAATTGCGTGTCTTTTATTGTCACCCTCAATACAAACATTCATATTTAAAAACATGATTCTAAATCTAAATGTGTTTTAATCCATAATAATCACTATTTTATTATATTTATATTTAATTTTTTTAATATATAATATAAGGTAATATTGCAAAAACAACTATGTGACCACCCAAATCAACTGGCTGCTCAATTATTACAAAAACTTCTTTTTAGTCGCTTGGGATAAAACCCAAGCGACTAAAAAGAAACAACATTGTGTAATGCTTGCAGTATACTTAAGGAGTAGATCCTCTCGTTGGGTGATCACTACATTCTTAGTTCCCACACTCAAAAAATCTGCTCATAATTCTGGGACTGTAGATAGGAAGAAAAAAATATTTATAATATATTCTCTATTGCACAGATAATACAAAGATATTATAATTTAGAAACAATGTGAGCAAATGTGGACTTATCCTTAGAAGAGATCTCTTCCAGTCAACCTAAAATAGTGGGATATGTGGTACTGGGTGGGTAATAACTGGTGCAAACAAAAACATGTCAAATACTACATATTATACTATGTAGTACACTTTTTTATCCTTATATATTTTTCTTCTATTTTTTTTTATATCACACATACTTATAATTCATTCATTTAACTGATTCTTCATTTTATATATTTAAATTCATCACGAATGCTATTTCTTTTTTTCAAGTGGCTGCACTGAAAGTCAGCGCTGTAGTGATAAGCTGCGGCACCAGCTGAGTGGAAGCCTTTTCAGCTCATAGCGAATTATTAGTTTTTCAGTTTTCTTTTTTACTCTGTACTCTTTTTTATGCTGAAATTTTTTTTTTTTTTTTTTTTTTTTTTTTTTTTTTTTTTTTTTTTTTTTTTTTTTTTTTTTTTCTCTCTCTCTATCTGCGATCAGCCCTTCCGGCTATAATCAGATTTTTTGAAGTTATTGGCTTTTTGCTGAATGCTGAATAAATTATTATTATTTTTTTTTTTATTATTATTATTATTATTACTATATATTGAATGAAACAAAATAATTACCTTAAACTCTTCCTATGTTTCCTAACATGTTTAATGAACGATGCAAAATTGTCCTTCCTCGCAATCTTACAATCTATACACATGAACACTGCACATTTGGTGTGCACAGTCCTGGCGTGCAACCTCAGTGTGTCTATATCTAAAAACTCTATGTTACATAATGAACACATCCACGGATAATCTTTCCATGATTTAATATCGTTTCTACCCAAATCGGACAGATCTTTTGCGTAAATCTCAATATTTGGTGCATTACATATGGCCGCCTCTATGATATCATTGACATCCAGTATTTGCTCGGCTTTCTCGTCGATATTTGCAGTACAATTCTCACTGGTGTCATCAAGTATTTCTTCCTTAGGTTCTCGTTTTACCTTAACATTAGAAAGTGATACGGTTAAGTTCTTCGGTGATTTCAAAGGCAATTCCTCTTCTTTCACGCTCACATCGTCATCAATACCACCAGGAGACGGATAATCATCGAAAATCGTCATGCAATCTTCACCTGTATGTCCGGAATTATCATCTTTATGTTTTAAAAATATATCTAATAATAAGTCTTGCGACTTCTTGACCCGACTTAAGAACTCGTAAGCTTTGTTTAGCGAGTCGTAACATATTAAACAAACAGTTTTCGGCAGCATATTTTCGCTTTGAACTTCCACATACATTGCATTCAAAAATGTGAGTTTAACGTTGATTTCATTCCATTTCTCCCCGTCCGATTGTATATTCAACAATTTGTTTTGACTTTTTGGCTCTGCACAAAAGCGACAGTATGTTTTTTCTGTATTTGCCATTGTTGTTTCATTAATTTTTATTATTATTACATTTCTTTCGTGAATTATAAATAAAATAAAACATGACTGACAACTGACAGATTCTTGTGAGGAATTTTAAGTTCGACAGTGACAGTAATACAGACACAGAGTATTATTACTAGACGATTAAAAAAAATATATCTATATTGTAATTAAAATAATATATTTATAATTATAGCTAAAAGACAGTAATTTAGTCTATGTGTATTATTAAATTAACAAAAATATTATGGTTTCACGGAAATCTCGTGAAGGCTGATAAATGTATATTATTCGGTTATATTATATAAATACAGTTGGGAACAACAGTGCCAATTATTGCTAAGTTGCATAAAATAAAAAGGCATAAGATCATTTATTTTAATATTAATGTGGAGTCGATTAGTCCATGTTGGGATAAAGATTACAAATTTATTTCTGGTCACACTGAATAATTTCACAGAGTACTTTATTACATAAATATTTGACGTCCAAAAATCAGTCAAGTCAGAATATTTTAGAAAAACAATACCATACTATATAATTCGTAATTTTTATTTTTATTATTGATATTAAATATTAACAAATATAAAATGAATAATACAGACACCGCGTACTGTAGACTGTGTGCCGAAATGAAACCGAACAATAAAATGACAAATCTCCAATTGGACGAACAAAAGAGAGTGGAAATCGTCGGCAAATTAACCAGATTGAACGCAAACATGGATCTCAGTGACGATTTATTACCAAAAACAGCTTGTTTTGTGTGTATTCACGCGTTAGATAAGGCATACGAGTTTGTTTCAAGCGTGGAACAGGCTCAAATTATCTTGAATGGCATTGTTTTGAATCAAATAAAGAAAGAAGATTCTTTGTCAGATTCTGAATCTTATCCCTATGAGTTTCAAGATGACGTGAAATACGACGAGAATAACGTCAAATTGGAAGCGGATAAAGGTAATTCTGAGTTAAATGCAGGCAGCTCTAAAAACTCAAGGCTGGGTACTGTTTGTTTGGTAAATAAAACTAAGAAAAAAAGACCTAGAGAAAGTATTAAGAATAGTCTAGATGCTATACCGCTGGCGCAGTTGAAGCTTACCTGGAGGGACTACAGCTGGACCTGTGCATACTGTGAGACTCAATTTCAGTCCGTAGACGAGTTAAAAATCCATTCCATTCAATACCACAACTGCTGTAATGCATTCAAATGTACGGATTGTAATATACGGAAATTAAAGTTGGACAGTTTTGTCATACATGTGAAACGACATAGGAAGTTCCTTAAATTATCTTGCTATAACTGTTATATGAGATTTTCTACACCACATGAAGTAAACGTACATAAGAGTTGTCATATTACATCGGAATATTCTTGTAATGGATGTAACAGCATGTTTGAGAGCTTAGATGAGATGAATCAACACACAACTTCGTATTACAGGGATAAACGGATCCGAGAAATACCAATGATGAATGATTTGAGTGATAATTTGACTTGTGTACTCTGTAAGAAGTCTTTCAAACACAAAGGTAGCTTAAACACACATCTGTTGATACATACGGAAAGAAAACGAGACCATACATGTGAGAAATGCGGTAAATGCTTCTTAAATAAACAGAATCTTACTGGTCATATGCTATTACATAATGATAATAGGCCGTTTAAGTGCGAGATATGTAAAGCAACCTTTAAGACTTCAGGACAGTTACGTAACCATGTTGGTGTTCACGATGCACAGAAACCGTATGCTTGTGATCAGTGTGGTCGATGTTTCCGTTTACAGAAACAGTTGTCATCCCACAGAATCATACATACGGATTTATTACCTTACACTTGTACATATTGCAACAAAGGTTTTCGTTTTAAAACCATTTTGAACCAACATGTTCGTCTCCATACTGGAGTAAAACCTTATTCTTGCGAAGTCTGTCAACGGGACTTTACGAATTGGCCGAATTACAATAAACATATGAAAAGAAGACATGGTACAGACATGTCAAAGAAGAAACACACTCCTGATGGTGTGTACCCAATAAATCCATCTACTGGGGAGGTTATAATATACCCAGAAACAAATAGTACGTTAGAATGGAAAAAGAAAATGATGATGCAGAGGAGGCCTGGTCGACCGAAATTAAACCTAAAGAGTGAGGCAACAGACACTGTTTTATCACAGCCTGAAAACTTGAGTATGAATGTCACTGTGAATGACACAGTGTAATAATGAAATATAAATTATTGTTAATTATATTAAAGATTATATTATTATACAAGACAATATAAAATGCAGGAACATGATTCTATGTTATAAATACCCTAACATACCTAACTGTATATTTGCCACAAAATATTTCAGAATCTTTTTGTTATCTGTGGTTTTTGTTATCCATGGTTCCAAATTCAAATGTGTGAACCATAAAGAAATTATTGTCTTACATTTTTGTTAAGAGAATCTATAATTTATATAAAACACAATTTCATATCTTGCAGGCAAGATTTATGAAAGATTGTTTAAATTTGTTACTATGAAAGGAAATTGTATTCAAATACATTAAAACAGCCGTTTCTTACGCTGCATATTTTGCTGTACATTATTTATTTGTTCTTTACTTGTCATCGTAAAAGTAAAATATCGCCTGTCAGAAAGATTTAAGTACTAATATTTTTCTAACTATATAGCTACGGGAATTTAATAAATTTGTTATGATTTCGTGTTTCGTAATAATTGTTTCGACATCTGTCTGACTGTCATGACACGACAGGGTGAAGTTACTTGAATTGTGACAAGGAGACCTTATAATTCCATGTATTCACGATGCAAGTGCTCATTTTATGGCAGAGAGGGAAACTCTGAGCAGTTCCCGGAACTTGTGACCCAGGCGCAGGTTTAAGGGGCCCCTCTTTATGGATGACAATGGAATGGTGCACCCGTCGGGGCTGACGGTTTACGGCGGGGCACCAGTGGAGGATAAGATGAACATGAGGTCAGATCAATTAGCCCATCGTGATACATGTATCTGGAATTTATCACAATGTTTCCAGTGGAACCAGGAGATTAACCTGATATGGTACATTGCTAGCAATAAGATCATCAGTCCACGTTACTAATCCGCTTACCCCTAAGGGGCCCCTTGCAAGCGTACGTCAACACTCACCTTCACCAGATGTTTCTCTCCCTGACCAGACTATCTGGCAGGCGCCTGCAAGTGCAGCTTTAGATACACGTTCTAGTATAGAACTTACTGCAGCTCTAGACAGGCCAAGATGTTTTAGAAGATTGTAGAGGTTTCGCTGGTATACCTCTCGTCCTCGGGGGGGAAGGGGATTGTAAATTGTAAATTCCTGGAGAATTGGTCACTATGAGCTAACTGACCTGACCTCGTGTTCATCTTATTATCCTCCACTGGTGCCCTGCCAGTGTAAACCGTTAGCGCAGACGAGTGCACCATTCCATTATCATCCCTAAAAAAAAACCTCTCGCTTCATTTCGACCGGATATAAATTATACTATTATTAAATTCCCATAATAAACTGCAAATTTTTCTTTATAAATGCAATTTGAACAACTATTATTAACTGTTCTTTGCTGACTGCAGCAATATCTCATTTTAAGACTATAAGAAAATATGTTTATGTAATGTTACTTTTATTTATTACAATTAGTTATTTAGCCATGTTGATGTAATTATACTGTTATTAAATAAAAGGATATTATATTGTTTTTTAAATGGATAACGAACTGAACTGCACTATGTATATCTTTTTATGTTCTGTTTCTCCCGTCAGGAAAAACACTGTGATTATTACCAATATTATGGTCAAACAGTCCTACAGAGGACTGTTTTCCGTGCGGAAAAAATATAGCATAATAATGTACCTACTTAATTTTTTTTATTATTTATTTAGCGGGAAGATATTTATCTAGGCTAGTCATATATCGCAGAGAAATGGTATGAGTTTCTTTAGATTATTCACAGACTACTATTAAAATAAAAAAAAAGGAGCAGCATTTCTGCATAATTTTATTTGCAAACTAATAAAGCTAAACATCTAGGTGAGATTTTTTCATTGAAAATTTTCTTGTATCTGCATTTCTCCAATCCTTTCTCTTTCAAATATACAAGTCTGTCGTACAAAATGAAATTCTCTAATACTGGCTGTAATTTGTTTTGCAACAAAACAAAAATGGCGGCCTTTTTAAATGCCAATTCTGAGCAATATTGGCGCCAAATGTCACGTAATTTTTCCAAGTCAAATTGTACAGATTTCAAATTTGTGTCATAATTTTCCTGACATGAAAAAGTATTATTAGATATTAAAGTGTATCCGTCCATGCAAGCATCTTGGATGTACGATTCAAAATTTTTATCAACTGATTTCATTTTAACCGCTTTTCGTTTATTTCTTCTTAATTTACAGTTGACTGTAAAAGAAATTAGACATTAAAATCATTTCTAATGTCATCTATATTAGCAAAGAAATAAATATATTCATGGTTATAATAAAAAACAAAATTAGGTAAAGACAATTAATTTACAGCGTAGCATAGTAGTTTACTACCATGACTCAGATTAAAAAGTCGTGAATTCAAATCTGCGCAACATTAGTAAAAAAAACTATTTGTATTGTTGACTAACTTTCCATTGATGAAAACACTGATAACAAGCTAAATTAATCCGAGAGACGTCGGTAGGGTTGCCCCGTTGTATATTGGATTCAAATATACCGAGTGAAACTGCATAAGTGTTACGTTCACTCTAGTCTGTCTACCTCACCTGGGAAATTAGTCGTGTAGGTATGATATATTATTGATAGGTATTATTATACATACTTGTATGTGCATAGAGTTGTAATACCGCTCTTGCCAGTAAATTAAATACCATTGCTTCCAAATCCGTATGAAAATCAGGCGGCTGGGCTCCTAATCTGAGAAACGGTACTCCTATATAGTCAAAACTTCCCATATCTTCGAATATAATTTTCAAACAGTTTGATAAAGGGAAATTCCTAAATCTACCATTTTCTACCGTCATCAAATGATAGCAACACGGCATTAAAACCATACACTTAGCGTCCGCCATCTTTGAAAACAGATTGATGGCGGTTATTGTTAAATCTGCACAGGCGTGAAGACCGGTGATACAAAACTGACCGGAATTATGGAATTTATCTTGTAAATAATCTTGTATATTGCTATTGGAATCATCAGTTATCGTATGTTTTATGTATTTAACTCTACTCGTTGAGTTCTTGTGATATTTTCTTTGACGTTTTTTTGCATTGACGTAATGCCCTTCGTTGCATTCTAAGCCCAGTATATTATAGTTTGATGTTTCAAATAGTAATTGATCCAGATAACCCTGAAAAATATATAAGTACGATTGTTTTTTATAAATATAATTTATTGACTATAAAAATATCTTTGAAAAGAAAGGTTTTGGACGTTCTAAATTTTTGTTTCAAAAAGTGAGCTGGGCCCATAACTTGAAGAGTTAATTTTTGGTAGTGCTAATACAAAAGTTTACTCGATACACTAAGATTCTAAATCTAAATCTATGTTGCCTAAGTATGACATTAAAAATACTAGCAAACTGCCCCGACTTTACACGGGTGCATTTACCGCCTATTTCATTTCAAGTAAGGTAACGTAGGTTATTTTATAATAATAATCCGCTCCTCGAAAATATGCGTTGTGGTTTTATATCTTAGTCAAGTACCTCTGATTTATATAGGCCGTTGATATTTACCATCAGGCGGGTCGTAGCCTTATAAAATATTACATAAAAAATACATACCAATCCTGAGCCAAAGTCTACAACCGTTTCGCATCCGCTCTCTTCACATATATCTCTTATCTCTTTTGCCAAGTATACTATCTCATGTTTCTTCTTAGGACTTAATGGGGCATTCTTAAAGTGTGATAAGGACGCATCATCTATATTTGTGTCGTATAGAAATGTTAATCTTTCTAACTTCTTTAGAAACTCTTTAAGGAAACCATCCTCATGATCGTGTAAGGTGAATTTATCATTGAAAACGTCCGCATCACACAAATTCTCAACTTGTATTCGATCAAAGATATTGTTACTGAGAATATCGGTGTTAGCACAACTGTATATGTATTGATATTCATTGAAAAACTTAAGACATTCTTTGAAATAATCTTCTGAATTGCCGAAGGCGTTTGGAAGTGACATGTTGCTCTGGAAATAATACTTTCACATATAATTTGAACTGAAGCACACTAGATTGACTGCGTGGGTATCGCAGAATCACCTATTTTGATGTCCCCATCAAAATAGGTGATTCTTATCCCTGACGGGTCTAGGTAGAGAACTCTGAAGAAGGGCGAGCATAATAGATCTAAGTAGGTCGCAGTGATTTACTTATGAATATGTTGTAATGATATTTAACTTCAACTGCGACTACGTCTGCTTTTAATAAAAGCAGACGTAGTCGCAGCAAACCTCCGTACCCCTCCGATCGAACTCCTAGCGGTGCCCTCAGACTAAAGTCGTATCCGTCGTGCGGGAGTTGGCCTTCAGCCGTTCCCTAAGTCCTTCCTTGGTTTGGAGCGCCATCTGCACTCTTCGCCTATCGTCCGGTGAAGCTGTAAAGTCCAGCTGCGGCCAACAGCATTAGAGTAGTCCGAAAAAACCTATTTCAGCGGCCAAGCAGCTTGCTTTGTAAGCTACGTTTCAATTCAAGGCTGAGTATTGGCAGAGAAATCGGTGGAAGAGGATGTACTTGTTGCAACTACAATAGCACACTAAGACTTTTCAAAGAAGTAACGAAAAGGTTAGTCGACATAACAGAAGATCGAAGAGCTGGCAGCTACCTCGGACAAAGAATTAGTCTAGCCATTCAAAGAGGGAACGCTGCCAGTATCTTCGAAACTTTGCCTAAAGGGACCCCTTTTAATAATATATTTTAGTCATCATATTATTTTTTTTTTAAGCTTTTTAATTTTAGGTTCTTAGTTGTTCAATTAGGTTATGTAAATAATAAATTAATATAGCATATGGTGGTGGTCAGTCTATGCAAATTCAAAATATCTTCATTCATGTAGGTCTATTACAGACTCTTATGATATGTCAAATCTACCGTCAGTTTGGAGTGCTTTTGAGCTGAGAACTGACAAGAAAACGATACTTCCTCGGTGCTCTAGCACGCCGCCTTACTTCCAATGGTTGCGGGTTCGATTCCTCGCAGGATACAAATATTTGCATTCATGAGTATGATTGTTTGTAGATTTATATGTACGGTGTACATTTATAAAAAAAATAAGTACATCTATCAGTTATCTAGTACCCATAATACACGATCCGCTTTGTTTGGGACTAGATGGCCTATAGATGGATCTATTGTCCAGAGATATTATTATTATAATTAGAACATCGCTCTAGTTCAGATAGCCTCAGATTCGATTCCTCGCACGATACAAATATTTGTATTCACGAGTATGATTGTTTGTATTGGTCGGTGTTTTCTATGTATACTATGTATTTACAAAAATATATTGTAAATTTGTCTAGGATTATTATTTTTATAATTAAATTCAGATTTCATTAAAATAACATTTATTAATAATTAATAACAGTCTCTTTTAAATACATAAATAAATTAAGATCAAGTGTTAGACAAGTATTGGAAACAAAACGAAACTACGGGATCTTATCCCTACAAGATAAGGCTTATACCAAATATTGTTATAGTTAAGTAACTACTTAGGGGTCCTTCAAGTATTACGTAAGCACTATAGGAAGGGGGGGGGGGTGTTCTTTGCTTTGCCTATTTTGGATGACATGGGGGATGGGGGAGTGTAGATGATGATTATGTCATCGGTACTTATTTACTTACTTTTTTGCACGAATGGCAACACGTTGTTCAGTGGCGTAGCTACCTAGGGGCTAAGCGGGGCAGTGCCCCGGGGCCTTCAAGCTTAGGGTGCCCTCGAACCCTTACCAGAAAATCTCGATCGAAGTGAACTTTTGAAAATTTCTCCCATTTTCAAACTAAATAGGACAGGATGGGACCCGATTTTAATCATGGCAACTCAGTCGAAAGTTATACCTTTGGAATTCCCCTAATTCTTTTTGTGGGTTGCCAGTGTTGTCAAATTGACGGATAGCGACATGTGCGTTTTAATAAAACTAATGTAGGGCCCCATGTTTTGATTTGCTCCAGGGCCCTTGGTTTTTCAGATTTATTACAATTATTTACCCCTCCCATCCCCCTTGTCAGCAAAAGTAAATAAAGCTCTTACCCCTTCCCCCTACGTTTTTTTAGCAAAGATAATGTGAGAGTTGCCATTCTCGTAAAAAAGAAAATAACTAGCGATGACGTGATCATCGTCTAGACTACCCCACCCCCAAGAATCAAAATAAAGAAAGCAAACACACCCTCTCATACATAGTGCTTACGTTATACTTGAACGGCCCCTAACTCACGAAGAGTAAATCAACAAATTTATATACTCGGATATAAATGTAGCAGATTGTCGTCAAAATGCAATGCTATATTACATACAGTATATACTGAGCAAGTACTGTTTGCAGCTTCTACTTCCTTCTGAAAGTTCCGATTAATCATTCATTCGAATGGCAAGAAGCTGATCATGACTAGTCTAATTCATTTAAATGAATGTTGCATCGTAAATACTAAATATTTACTGTTGCGGTCCGCTTAACCTTTCCCAAGCTTCGTTCTCTTTCCCCAAATTAGCTACACCTTCCCCAATAACACACTTTCCGTACCATTTATCTGCAGACAAATACTTCTTGCACACTTCTGCTAAATCTTCATTCTGGACTGCCAAAACGCGCTCTCTTTGTGTCTGCCAGATATCATATGATAATCCATAAAGGAATAGATCAATTCCCTTCATATACTCCGGTACTGGTTGATCCATCTGTTGCAATATGGAGAGTTTAGCTTCAAACAAATTCTGATCGTCAACTAAACTGGTATTATTTGCCATCCAATCTGCCGTTTTGTCGAAAACATCCAAAGTTACATTGGAATTTGGATCCCTGTAGGAATAAAAGTTGAAAACTCCGTCCATAGTAATTGTAGCCCCTCCGCCGTATGCCCCATTTTGCTCTCTAACAATTGGGTGCAAATATTTGGAACTTAAGAATCTGGACAGTACACGCAATTTCGCGAAATCTGGATCAGTGTATGCAACAGTAGGTATTACTTTCGCGCAGAAATTAACTGGTATGTTCATCGAAATATGAATGCCGCGGTTTTCTTTGGCAGTTTTTCCAGAGTCGGTCCAGTTGATGCGATTTAATTCTTTACCCTCATCACCTTTGCACAATTCTGTGCAAAATTTATCAACTATATTGTGAATATCTTTATTTGTGTTGCTGTAATGGAATGCAGCTCTCAAATTACTGCCTTTAAGTACTTGTTTCGCTATTTGATCAACTATAGACTGTATCTCATCTATTTTGTAATTCTTTTGTATTTCCTGCATGGATATAACATGGTGCAGACCCAATAAATTCTCTTTGCATTGATCTACTGATGAAATCAGTGATCTAGCTGCTTGCATAGCATATGTATGACCACTATCTATGATGCCACTAGTCAATGATGAGCAATAATTAGTCAGCAACATTGTCATTCGTTCACTGTTCCCAAAATTAGGCTTATTGAAAATCTCAGACCATATATCCAGCATTTTTGGTAGATTTTCGTCAAGACAATGACTACCAATCAACACACCTTGCTCATATTGCTCTTGTTGGTCTATATGTTCCGTTATATGCGTGATGAAACTCAATCCAGAGGTAGACTTACTAACATACTTGTCAAAATCTCTATAATTATATGATTTTGTATCAAACTTGTCCAAAACATAATTGAAAAATGGTAAAAGCTGTCTTTGTGTCTCTTTTAAAGACTCAGTTCCAAGAACACCTTTGAAATATGTTACTCCATTTGTATTAGCTTCACAAAGCTGGAGAGGTATAGTTTCTGCTACAGCATGTCTTAATGGTGGTGCAGTTTTATTCAAAGTGATTTCTTCTATTTTCAAACAAGGTAAAGAATCTAGTTGTTCCACCTTCTTTTGTGCTTCAGAAAGTTCTAATCCATCTTGATATATCTTTTCTCTGTCTTCTTTTGTCAACGCCGCTACTTTAGATTGCAGTGATTTGGCTTCTGCTTCATTGAATGTATCATCAAACTTGGGGTCAGGTTGCATGGTCATTATCAATTTATGATTGTTAGAAAGGAAGTATTTTTCAATCACATCTTTAACATAAATAGGATTCATAAGATTTGTTTTCAATTTGGTCAGCAATTCATTAACTTTTAGAGCATTCAAAATTGGCCCATTGTGGTTCCACAGTGGCATTAAATTGAATAGGACATTCAATCCAAACTTAGGTGATTGATGCTTGATTGAGAGCTCAAACCCGTGCAGAACACTCTCAATATGATCCTTCTCAAAACCTTTAGCAAATATATCCTCAATAGTTTGATTTGCTATTTTTTCTACAGTTTCAAATTTAGATTTCTCAACATCCCTCAACCCAATTACAAACAGTGTATCTCTAATTTGATTGTCATAACCAGTTAGTGAATTGTAACCACCAGATATGTTCTTCTCAATTAAACTTTTGTAGAACGCTGAATTCGGTCCTATAATCATCAACTCGGCTAAAGCTGTTAACATGAATGTTTCATAAATGTTTGTAATATCAGACATTACATAACCAATGGCAATTTGGTTCTGTTTCTCTATTGGACCACCATACTGATCAACTCTGCAAGGGATTTCAGCTCGCTTTGGTGATTTCCACCTTTCTTGCTGTGCTACTATTGTGTCTTGAGGATTCAGGTAGTCATATTTGCTCAAGTAGGCTTCATTTACAAACTTCAGATTGGCTTCAAGAGGGAAACTACCATAAGAATATATCCTAGCATTACTTGGATGATAGTGTGTAGCATGGAATTTTTTTAAGTGTTCATGTGTTAACTCAGGGATGCGTATTGGGTCCCCTCCAGACACATAACCATATGTGCCTTTTGGTAGAATGGTATTTATAAACTTTTGACCAAATAGTGAGCTAGTTTCAGAAAATGCTCCCTTCATTTCATTGTAAACAACACCTTTGAATTGTAACTCTGAATTTTTATCATCTAACTTTGTATGTTCTAACCTCCAACCTTCCTGTAAGAAGTCTAACCTGGATAAGTTTGGTTTGAATACTGCATCTAAATAAACCTTCTGTAAATTTCTATAATCAACCTCATTCTGTGACGAGAATGGATAAAAAGTGTAATCTGGTCCTGTCAATGCATTCATGAATGTTGCTAGTGAACGATTCAACATTTTAAAGAATGGATCTCGGACTGGGTACTTCTCTGAACCACATAATACTGTATGTTCCAAGATGTGAGGAGTACCCATCGAGTCTAATGGTGTTGTACGGAAACCTACTGAGAAAACATTATTAGTATCATCCCTCTCTAAATGCAGGTACTCCGTCTTAGTTTTTTCATGTACTAAAAAGTATGCAGTAATATTGTACTCTTTTATATGCTCAATTTCGGAGCAAAGGAAACCATGCACAGCTTTCCCTGGCTGTATGTTTTTTGCGAGGTGTTCTTTCTTCTTCAATATGCTTCCACTGTAATGTCGTATTTCAGGCAAGTGTCGTAGCCTCATATAGCCATGCTTATGCAATCTTGAATACATCTTTCAGTTTATTGTCCACAATCCTGCAAGTATATACACCATTCACTATTTTTTCAATAACAAAGATTTGGCCTATGTTGTTGAAATTATTGGTTCTCACGAATGATGTATGACTGGCAGTGATTATTATATATATATATACATATTGTAATTCTATACAGTAATATTTAGCTTCTTTTAGGAATATTATAAATAATAAAAGACTTTTTTTAAATTTGTCTATTGGAACAATTTTTTTTCTAATTTGGGTTACAGGTACCTAATTATAATAACAGCTTATATATTTTTTCCACACACGCGCCATTTAGACCCAAGTTAAGCTAGGTAAAGCTTGTGTTAAGGGTACTGGACAATATACTCATATATATATGTATATTCCTATCTGCTAAATAGAGATAGGAATTATGTAAAATATCATAAATTAATAAAATTAATATCCGTATTTAATATATTTACTTATGTAATTAATCCTAAAGATTTCGATAATATTGGGAAGTTTCATTATATAGTTATGAAAGTAATATTTCATCTATGTATGAAGAAAACAAATGAAATGTGATGCAATTTTCATACTCACAGAAGTTTATTGTGATATCTGCAAGGTACCGTTATGTACCGGAATATAATGATATCTGGTTTTATTTTATGATAATAGTCAAAAACTATTGTTTATTCGACATTTCTGAAGCCGAATTGTATTTTAATTATTCAATTATAACCTAGCTGTCCAATTGAAGCACAAGAGTTGGGTTAATTTCATACTTGACGTAAGTCGATCGATTACGATAATGATTGTAATACTTGCTAAAATTATGTAATATTATGTTATCTGTGCTAAAACGAATTATTTCATATTCAAATATTTAATTATTATTGCGTTATATTTGTTTTAAATGCAATTATCTATTGAAAGACCTTAAATGTACAAATAATTATTAGCACTACAGTTGATCATATTATACACTTTTCAGATATATATATTTTTTAAAGCCTTTTCTTGACTTCAATAGGTACAATAATACTTTTTTTAATAAAAATAATTAAATCTGTTGTTATTGTAGTCCAAGTCCATTTTTAGAATATGACTAATAGGTTATTATATTGTGGTCAATTACAAATAAAAATTAGTAAGTACTAGTTTTTGAATATATGAGTACTACTGCTATAATAATCTACACATTCGATTTAATACCGATTATAGTCTATTATAATCGATCGTTTTGTCCTTTGAATGTCTTATTGCGACTGTGATTGAATGAAATGTCATGTGCATGTCATATGTTTGACATTTTTTTTATGTGCTTGTCACACTGAGCGATATATTTTCTTTTTTAAACACGTGTTTACGTGATGCTCTCTTTCAGAGAGTTTATAACAAATATATATGGAAAAAAATAATACAAAATGAGTTTGTACAATTTCAAGAAGATCGCCGTTGTGCCTACGGCTAAGGTAAAATTATATAACAGCTTAAAACCTAGAATAACAAACATAATTTTAATATGTACACGAGTATAACCTGATGATTTTTTTTTCAGGATTTTGTCGACATAATATTGTCGAAGACACAAAGGAAAACACCTACAGTGATACATAAACATTATAAGATATCTCGGATACGCGCGTTTTATATAAGAAAAGTGAAATTCACTCAACAGAATTTTCACGATAGGTTATCCCGCATTATTCAGGTACTTGTTTTTTTATTAACTAGTAGTATCACCCGACGATTCTTACGTCTGTTATTAAGCGTATGTTACTCTCTGAAGACCAAGGTTTCCATAGATGAAACATTTTTTGAAATCAATAATTTTTTTATTTAATTTACTATGGTAAACAAATCAAAATGTTTTATTGTATGTATAATATCAGTTTAAATATCACAATTTATTCATTACTTTGGTTAGTCAGTCAGTGGTACTTCTCAGAAAGGCTCTTGTCATTCAGTACTAAAATTAAATAATGTTATGAAATCTATTAACAAAATAAGAAAAAATACTTATACAGGATATGTTAGATTTATTTAAGTCAAGGTAGCTGGAAAGCGTTGTATATAAGCAGCGCAGGATCGTCATGGAGATCTTTGGGGGAAGCCTCTGTTCAGCACTGGACATCTTCTGGGCTGAAATGATGATGATGATGAGTAATTAAAATCAAGAAACACTTAAATACTACTATAGATTACAAAAATGTATATATAAAGTAAATTGGTCATAGAGTTTATATACAAATTAGATGTGCCTACGACTTCGTCCGCGTATTGTCGATATTTCCATTAACTTTCATCCCCCTTAAGGGTAATTTTTTTTAAAACTTAGAATGTCTTGTTTATTCATATTTAATTAACAGTCCCAAAAATAAGTTTCAAGCTTTTAGCTTCAAAAATGAAGAGTCTTCCATATCATCTTTCATCTCCCTTTTGAACCCCTTACAACCCTTGTTTTTGGATTAAAAACTAGCCTATGTCCTTTCTCAGATTCTAGACTATATGTGTACCAAATTAAATTTAAATTGGTTCAGTAGTTTTGGCGTGAAAGTAAGACAGACAGACAGACAGACAGACAGAGTTACTTTCTCATTTATAATATTAGTAAGTATTATAAAACTTATTTTTTATTTTCCACCTCATTTTTTGGGGAAATTATTAAATTTCATAAATACTATTATGACACTATACATACACTTTTCAATTAAATCTATATGGAATATATAATTTCAGGAATTCCCAAAACTAGACGATGTTCATCCGTTTTACGCTGACCTCATGAATGTCCTGTACGACAAGGACCATTACAAACTAGGGCTCGGACAACTCAACACGGCCAGACATCTTATTGATACGTAAGTCTGCTGTCTGAATGTAATATAGGTATTGTAGATATAGACAAATATTATGAAACTACTAGCTGACTCCACAAACATTGTTTAGCCAAATAAATTAAAATTACTATTAAAAATAGGGGTTGGTGAGAAAAAGATGAAAATTTAGGGATGTATTTTTTAATGCCACATTATAAAAAAATAATAAATAATGGAGAGGGCTGGAGTAGGCCTATGCTAAAAGGTACACAGAGTTGTGGGACATTTTGTGAACATCAAAATGTACCCCATCTTTCAGATAAGAGAGCTATATGGCTATTATTATTCATCATCATCATCATCATCATCATCATCGCAGCCCAGAAGACGTCCACTGCTGGACATAGGCCTCCCCCAAAGATTGTTATTATTATTATAAAAGATAAATCATTTGTCCAAAAAATTTAAAAACATGTTAGGGGTGGAGGGCTGAACATCTGACAATAGCCCAAATAACCCAATAAAAAAAAATAGGGGTGGATAATCTTATCACTTAGGGCTATGAAAGATAGTAGCCGATTCTCAGTCCTACTGAAGATGTGTATAAAGTTTCATAAAAATTCCTCCATTTCAGAGGAGTATGATAACTAATATTTTGATATGAGAATAATTACATAATATAAAACAAAGTCGCTGTCTGTCCGTCCCTATATATGCTTAAATCTTTAAAACTGCGCAACAGATTTTGAAGCGGTTTTTTTAATAGATAGAGTGATTCAAGAGGAAGGTTTATATATATAATACATGTACACCCGTACGAAGCCGGGGCGAGTAGCTAATTTTATATATAAGATTAAAAAGTGCTTATATTAAGTTTATTTTAATAAAGCACCACCTTCCGATTGCAGGCGTGATTCCTCAGACTGTTGTACTATCGGAGAAATCACTATTTTACTTTATTGTAAATGCAAAAGTTGGTGAATATAGATGGATGTTTGTTGCTCACACAAAAACTACATAACAGATTTTAATGTAACTTTACAGTAATATAGCTTATACATCAGAATAACAAATAGACTATAATTTAAAAAGTTATTGTTTTTACATAATATCTTGGGCAATATATATAATGATAAATTTCAAATAAGTGTGATGCAAACGAACGTGCGTGCGTGGATCAGCTAGTATAGAATATTTGTATTAATGAGTATGATTTTTTGTATCGGTCTGGGTGTTTTCTATGTATATTACATTGGTATTTAAAAAACGTATTTAAGTATCAGTTGTCTAGTACTCATAACACAAGCTCTGCTTACCGTGGCACTAGATGGCGCTGTGGTTATTGTCCAGGGTTATTTATTTATTTATATCAGTTGTCTAGTACCCATAACACAAGCTCTGCTTACCGTGGGACTAGATGGCGCTGTGTTAATTGTCCAGGGTTATTTATTTATTTATATCAGTTGTCTAGTACCCATAACACAAGCTCTGCTTACCGTGGCACTAGATGGCGCTGTGTTAATTGTCCAGGGTTATTTATTTATTTATATCAGTTGTCTAGTACCCATAACACAAGCTCTGCTTACCGTGGGACTAGATGGCGCTGTGTTAATTGTCCAGGGTTATTTATTTATTTATATCAGTTGTCTAGTACCCATAACACAAGCTCTGCTTACCGTGGCACTAGATGGCGCTGTGTTAATTGTCCAGGGTTATTTATTTATTTATATCAGTTGTCTAGTACCCATAACACAAGCTCTGCTTACCGTGGCACTAGATGGCGCTGTGTTACTGTCTAGTTATTTATATATTTAAGGCCCAATCGAAGCTGACCGCGATCCATATCACGTTTCAGTCAATATGAGGCCTATAGTAACATTTGTCGATAAGGTCGCACGTGCGTGACATACGCAACTGTGCATCACCCACGACAAATACAAAATTATTAATTTATATCATTTTTTAATACTACTATGGTGGCAAACAAGCATACGGCCCATCTGATGGTAAACGGTTACCGTAGCCTATGGACGCCTGAGACATCAGGGCTGTAACATGTTGCCGACCCTTTAGAAACCTTAAAATACTCGTCTTGAAGAACCACATGCTGCAGTATGTGATAAAACTTAAGTTCATTTGAATTAAGATGTTTCTATTCTATTTATCTAAAAAAATTGCAGAATTCGTTAAGGATAATAATGTTTTTATTGAAAAACTTTAAATCCATAGCACTGACAATATTATCTGAGTACACTAATAATGAGTGCGTAGAGATTTCTATGTTGATTATCGCATGCCTCTTACTTGTTATACTGTAATTATTTATATAAAGAAACATCTATTAAAAAGAGCAACAAACAAGTTTCTTGGACATTATTCTTGTGATGAATCTGCATTCCGAATGAGTGGTAGAATCAAGATATGACTATTCAAAAGTGCTTGTAATGAGTTTATTTGAATAAAGATTATTTCTATTTCTATTGCAGTGTGGCGAAGGACTATGTGCGTTTATTGAAGTATGGTGACTCATTGTACCGATGTAAACAGCTGAAGAGGGCGGCGCTGGGTCGGATGGCCACCATCATGAAGAGACAGGCCGCAAATCTAACATATTTGGAACAGGTATATAAATAACTAACTGTACACGCGACTTCGTCCGCGTGGAATTTAGCTTTATTTTTCTAAGCTACTACTCCTTATTAAATCGGCTACATGCCAAAAAAAGTCCCGTCACAATCGGTCCAGCCATTTGAGAGATTAGCCAGAACAGACAGACAGACAAAATTTGAAAAAATATTTTTTTGCTGTATGTACCATTTTTATCTTCATGTGCATGTAGTAAAAAACGATTATTTCAATATTACAAACAGACACTCCAATTTTATTTATATGTATGGATAATAATAATCTTAGGACAATTCACACAGCGTCATCTAGATCGACTCCAGAGTAAAGGGGCCCCGAGGTCCCAGCCTTCACCCTCTTAGGGGCATGACCCGGTTCATTAATTCATTGGGTATTTATTTCCTGCATATATCAAAGTCCCCCAGGAGTTGTGGCCTTCGCAGTCAATGCCAAAGGGGTCCCGTGGCCCCACCCTCTTAGGGGGTTACGGATGATCCGGTTTATTAATTCAGAGGGTATTTATTGATAAATGATGAGAAATTGGGAAAACAAGCACCAAATATAAGAAGCTTCTAATCAAGAACTCATCAAAAAGACTAAAAGGAGCAAATATTCTGGAGCTGGATGAAAGATTTCTAGCTAACTCAAAGAATAGAGATCTCCCATGTCAACTACAAACAACTGAGAACAAGGAGCCATGAAACCCCGATATAAATAATTATAAATGATAAAAATGTTTTTGTAGAAAATATCTAACTTAAAATTCACAGCGCTGACAATGTTATCTGATTGAACAGAGATTAAGTGCGTAGCAGTTTCTATGTTGATTATCGCAAGCCTAATCCTTGTTGTTAATTAAATATAAGCAAATCAACACACAAGTTTCTTGCTTATTCTTCTTGTGATGAATCTGCATTCCGAATAAGCGGAAAAAAAAACTTGACTATTCAAAAGTGCTTATGTTAAGTTTATTTGAATAAAGATTATTTTTTATTTAAATTATTAACCGGGTCTTAACACGAATAATTTTATGGCAAATAAAGGTATTTACCTCTCTCGACGTTTCGACTAGGTTGCACTAGCCGTGGTCACGAGCTGACTGGAGTAACAGCGATGTCAATGTAGATAGGTGACAGCAGTTTTTTCTTCATCTACCGTCACTAGATTGTTTAACCAGTTGGTTATATATTCAATATTTTTTCTATTTGAGTATTTAATTGAATTAGTGCTAATCGGTGGTTTGTATTCACACACTTAAACTTAAAAATGTAAAGTAATAATAAAATTATTTAAAAGAGCAACACGCAAGTTTCTTGCTCGTTCTTCTTGTGATGAGACAGCTTTCCGAACGAGCGGTAGATTAAAAAATGTAATGACTATTCAAAAGTGCTTCAATGTAAGTTTATTTGAATAAATGATTTTCTATTCTATTCTATTCTATTCTATTTATATATGATGTATTGAACATTCCAGGTCCGCCAACACTTGGCTCGTCTGCCATCCATCGACCCGTACACACGGACCATCATCATCTGCGGCTTCCCCAACGTCGGCAAGTCCAGTTTCATCAACAAGGTGACTATGACATCAAACATTTAGCTCACACCCTACACAAGTCAGATCGATTTGTTTTTAAGTGTCATTTGTAACTCAATTTATATATTCAAATATCCTATATAAAAATCTTGACTTGTTTCCAAAAAACAGCAAAATATTAATACTAGATTTAAAGACAAACTTGCTGTCCCCAAGTATTGTTTAGAAAAAGTTAATAGGTCTTTTATGGGAATAGGTATAAAAATTTATAATAAGATACCAAATGATATGTTGGAATTACCTTTAAATAAATTCAAAACATCTGTTAAATCATATTTACTGAGCAAAGCCTATTACTCACTAAACGATTACTTGAATGACGAGCGTGCATGGCAATAGTTGTTCATGGACGGGATTAATTTCATTTAACTTTAGACATAGACACCTATATAAATATACATTGGAAATAAACAGGCTTAAAAAAAAATAAGTAATTCAATTGAGTTTCTTGCCAGTTCTTCTCAATTGGATCTATATACCGAACTGGACGGTAGGGAAAAAAATGTAATGTAAAAACTTGACGTTCATAAGCGGCTAAAATGTCCAACATGAATAAATAATTTTTTAATTTGAATTTGAGAAAACTAACCCTATTTTTCTTTATATGTATAAAAACTAGCTGTCCCGGCAAACGTTATATTGCCATATAAATTAATAACGCTATAAAAAAATAGGGGTTGGTGATAGAAGGGTTAAAATTAAGGGTTGTATGTATTGTTTAATGACACATAATAAAAAAATTGTTCAAAAAATAAATGTTAAGGGTGGATCACCCTTATTACTTAGGGGTATGAAAAGGGGCCGTTCAAGTATTACGTAAGCACTATAAGGGGGCGGGGGGTCTTTTCTTTGCTTATTTTGGATGACATGGGGGTGGGGGAGTCTGTATGATGATTACGTCATCGGTCGTAATTTACTTTTTTACACGAATGGCAACCCTCACATTGTCTTTGTTAAAAAAACAATACATTAATTGAGAAATGTTTACGTAAGCATGGGGGGAGGGGTAAGAGCTTTGCTTACTTTTGCTGACAACGGGGGATGGGGGTAAATAATTGTGATAAATCTGCTTACGTAATACTTGAACAGCCCCAAAATAGATAGTAGCCGATTCTCAGACCTACTGTATATGTAATTAAAATATCATAAAAATCGGTCAAACCGTGTCAGAGGAGTATGGTAACTAACATTGTGACACGAGAATATTATATATAAAAAATACGTATCACATTGTCTGTCCGCGATGGACTCCTAAACTACTGAAACGATTGCAAATTTGTTTTGCGCATTGTGTGCAATTTGATCCAAATTGAAAGATAGGATAGCTTACATCTCAATTTATAGTCGCAATATTATTTTATTCAAGAACCTTAGCCACAGCAACGCGTGGCCGGTTCTGCCATGATTATTATATAGGTATGCAATATTAAAACTAGAATTAAATAATTAAAAATAGAATACATTAGATCAGTGTTTCCGGGTCATTGGACTCCCTAAAATATGGTCGAGCGCAGTGATGGCTGGCTCATCCGTCATACTCGTGAACTAGTGCTGCTTGTAGGGACTGGTCTGCTCTTATCACTACGACTGATTAAATCTTATTGTATATTTATATTTGACCCAAAAAGTGAGTGCTGGTTGGTAGTTTGTATTCACACGTTTCGACTTGTAAATGTAAACTTACAAGGATTATTTAAAAGAGCAACACACAAGTTTCTTGCTCGTTCTTCTTGTGATGAGACAGCTTTCCGAACGAGTGGTAGGTAATAAACAAATTGTTATGACTGTTCAAAAGCGCTTAAATTATTAATTTATTATTAATAATTATTAAATTATTATATTAAAGTTTATTTGAATAAATGATTTTCTATTCTATTCTATTCGATTCCCAATCTTTTTAGTAGCGTGCCCCATGGTACTAAAAAGTTTGAGAACTTTCAGCCTTAGCTTTTCTAAAATTGTTATGTAATAATAATATAAATAAATAGTAACATTACACATTACAAATGCATAAATACTAACCGTATGTCTGTTACTTTTAAAGATAACCCGCGCGGATGTAGAAGTCCAGCCGTATGCGTTCACAACGAAGAGTTTGTACGTTGGGCACACAGACTACAAATATTTAAGATGGCAGGTGAGTTATCTATATTTAATTAAATTTAAGAAGGTTTATATGTATAACTAACTTATTATTTTTCTAAAATAATAGTAGCCTAAGTTACTCCTTATTGCATCAGCTACCAGCCAAAATAAGTCCTGTCAACATAGGTTTGAAACCTTCAAGAAAAGAGCTTATTCCTTTTTAAAAGGCCGACAACGTACTTGCAATTCCCCTGGTGTTGTAGGTGCTCATGGGCGGCGGTAATCACTTACCATCAGGTGAGCCGTATGCTCGTTTGTCCCCTGTGTTATAAAAAAAAAAAAAGGTCCAGCCATTTCAGAAATTAGCCGGAACAAACAGACAGACAGACAAAAATTGTAAAAAACGTTTTTTTGGTGTATGTACCGTATTTATATTCATATGCATGTAGTAAAAAACGATTATTTCAATATTACAAACAGACACTCCAATTTTATTTATATGTATAGATGAAAACATTGGATTTTTGACAATTAAGCGACCACTCGTTATTACTAATCGTATTTAGACAACCTCGGTGATTTAGCGGTTTACCACACCGCTTTACTTCAGATGGTCGCGAGTTCTCGCACCGTGCAAACATTTGTATTCATGAGTATGATTGTTTGTATCGGTCTGGGTGTTTTCTATGTATAATATATATGTATTTACGAAAAAGAAATTATCTATGTATTTGTTTATCGGTGTACATGTTTATCGCAGTGCCACATTACAGCTTGATGTCTACTGTTTATGAATATAAATGACTGTTACCACTTACCATCAAGATTTGGCTGTGCCAGCGTGAAATTTTTAACCTATATGTTATTCTGATGTATAGGCTATATTACTGTAAAGTTTCATTAAAATACATTCAGTAGTTTTTGCGTGAAAGAGTAACAAACATCCATCCATACTCACAAACTTTCTCGTTTATAATATTAATAACAGTTACAAAAAAAATCTAAGTGTTTATATCAGTTGTCTAGTACCTATAACACAAGCTCTGCTTACCGTGGGACTAGATGGCGCTGTGTTAATTGTCCAGGGTTATTTATTTATTTATATCAGTTGTCTAGTACCCATAACACAAGCTCTGCTTACCGTGGGACTAGATGGCGCTGTGTTACTGTCTATTTATTTATATATTTCAGGCCCAATCGAAGCTGACCGCGATCCATATCACGCTTCAGTCAATATGAGGCCTATAGTAACATTTGTCGATAAGGTCGCACGTGTGTGACATACGCAACTGTGCATCACCCACGACAAATACAAATTAATACCCCTCCGATCGATCCCCAATCAAATTCAAACAGGGATCGAAATTACCAACTTGATATCCTTCCGATCGAGCCCCAATCAAATTGAAACAAGGATCGAAATTACCAACTTAATACCCCTCCGATCGATCCCCAATCAAATGGAAACAGGGATCGAAATTACCAACTTAATATCCTTCCGATCGATCCCCAATGAAATTGAAACAGGGATCGAAATTACCAACTTAATATCCTTCCGATCGATCCCCAATCAAATTGAAACAGGGATCGAAATTACCAACTTAATACCCCTCCGGTCGATCCCCAATTAAATTGAAACAGGGATCGAAATTACCAACTTAATATCCTTCCGATCGATCCCCAATCAAATTGAAACAGGGATCGAAATTACCAACTTAATATCCCTCCGATCGATCCCCAATCAAATTGAAACAGGGATCGAAATTACTACAGTCTGAACCGAGGTTCGAACCCCTAGCGGTGGCAGACTAAAGTCGTATCCGTCAGGCGGAAGTTGGCCTTTAGAAGCTCTATAAGTCCTTTGTTTGGTTTGGAGTTCACTCCATCTATTAAAAAACCGCTTCAAAATCCGTTGCGTAGTTTTAAAGATTTAAGCATACATAGGGACGGACAGACAGCGACAGCGACTTTATTTTATATTATACATTATTTATATAAGTATACTCACGCCACCATGCTCCCCCCGGTGCAGGCCTGCTCCAACTCCTCAATGAGCGCACGCTTCTCCGGAGTCAGGTCCTCGGGACGTACCACATCAATTTTATTCAGGACCACAATGAGGGGCTTGTTGATGAACAGTGGTTTTATATATATATTATTTTGTTAAATAATTAATTTGTTTATATAAGTAACTAGCTACTCGCCCCGGCGTCGCACGGGTGTACATGTATTATATATATAAACCTTCCTCTTAAATCACTCCATCTATTAAAAAAACCGCTTCAAAATCCGTAGCGTAGTTTTAAAAATTTAAGCCTACATAGGGACGGACAGACAGCGACAGCGACTTTGTTTTATACTATGTAATGATAAAGATAGGGTATTCTAGCGAGGTATAAATTTCATATAAATTTAGTAGTTTTATCGTGAAATCCCGACAGACAGACAGAGTTGGTTTGGCATTTATAATATTAGTAAATATGACTTAGGTGATCGATACGCCTGGTATCCTGGACCACCCGCTGGAGGAGAGGAATGTCATCGAGATGCAGGCGGTGACTGCCCTCGCTCACCTGCGAGCAGCAGTGCTGTACGTGCTGGACCCCTCCGAGCAGTGCGGACACTCACTACCAGATCAGGTATCTATTTTGAAGCGAAACGTCTATATAGACAACACCCTATATATATGATGACTTTAAAAGTGTAGCTAAGTTCCGAGGAATTGCAAAACTAAAGTGGCACATAGCTCGTAGGACAGTAAAGTCCTCGAGTGGCGACCGCGGACCGGAAGACTCAGCGTGGGAAGGCCTCCAGCAAGGTGGACCGACGATCTGGTTAAGATCGCTGGAAGGCATTGGATGCGAGCAGCGCAGGACGTCGTGGAGATCTTAGGGGGATATTTGAATCAATATTATTTCGATTTATTTCCAGATATCCCTACTGGAGAGTATAAAACCACTGTTCATCAACAAGCCCCTCATTGTGGTCCTGAATAAAATGGATGTGGTACGTCCCGAGGACCTGACTCCAGAGAAGCGAGCGCTCATTGAGGAGTTGGAGCAGGCCTGCACCGGGGGGAGCATGGTGGCGTGAGTATACTTATATAAATAACTAGCTAAATTAACTCGCCCCGGCTTCGCACGGGTGTACATGTATTATATATATAAGTTGTCATTTGCGTTTTGTTATTCCAAGTCTGATTCTTTTTTGTTATACCACGTTTTATAGTGACTGACGTTTCATGTCAAGTCACACGGGAATGCTGTCGAACGGGATAAAAAGTATCCTATGTCCTTCTCCTGGCTCTAAACTACCTCCCTGCCAATTTTCAGCTAAATCGGTACAGCAGTTCTTGAGTTTTAAGTGGAGTAACTAACATGACTTTCTTTTATATATATAGATGTATAGTATAAAATAAAATCGCTGTCACTGTCTGTCCGTCCCTATTTAATCGAGTCACAACGCGAGCTTTAAATCGTTTGCGGCCCGGGTCCCCACCAACATGCAGCCCATCTTCATGAAGGAGGACTACTGGCCGAAGGGGGTGGTGTGTCGACGCTACCGTGACAGATTGCAATCGACAGTGCCGTGACCATAGAGACAATTTTATTATTATTTCTTATGTATGTTAGTCTGTAAGGTATTTATCTTATATATAAAATTCTCGTGTCACAGTTTTCGTTCCCATACTCCTCCGAAACGGCTTGACCGATTCTCATGAAATTTTGTGAGCGTAGGTTTAGGTTTAGGTCTGAGAATCGGCCAACATCTATTTTTCATCCCCCTAAATGTTAGGGGTAGTCCACCCCTAATTTTTTTATTTTAAAGTAAACAACGTTTGCCGGGACAGCTAAAAAAAATAAAAAAGAGCAACACGCAAGTTTCTTGTTCGTTCTTCTTGTGATGAGACAGTTCACAAGTTCAAACTTGTGGCGTCGTGTGGGCCAGGTCGATGTGCTCTCTCTAATATGGTTGAGTGCAATGATGGCTGGCTCATCCGTCATACTCGTGACCGGATCCTGCATGTGGGGATTGGTCTGTTCGGTTACAAACACTGATTAGACTATTTGCTTTTGCAATAGCATATGCTGGTGGTCACTCTATTCTCACAAATTTGAAAATAAAAATCTGTATTATTGTAAACATGTACAACATTTATTTGAAAAGAATACGAGCTGAGTTTCTTGTCAGTTCTTCTCATCTCGAAATAATTTCAACCTGACGGTAGATTTGACATATCACAAGAGTCTGTAATAGACCTACATGAATAAAGATATTTTGAATTTGATACAGGGGTACGAATAGCGAGTTGTCCAAAGTCCCCGTGATGAGAATGTCCACTATGACGGAGGAAGGTGTGCAGGAAGTGAAGATAGAGGCCTGCGAGAGGTTACTGGGGCACAGGGTCACTGAGAAAATGAGGACCAAGAAGGTATGTAAGCTGCTGAATAGGATTTATATTTATATTCATTGAGTTATTCCGAAGATTTTATTTTTTTCATATGATGTATTGTAATTATTACTAAAAAATTCTTGAAATATATATTAAAAAAGAAGAAACAGATACAATATTTAAGTCTCAATATAATATTATTTACCGTTTACAGAATTGTAACTAATAGGGTTGCCATTTTTATTATTCTGAATGTGAACAGTCATGTCATAAATTATTTTGACATTTATTGACAACTAGCTGTACCCGCGACTTCGATCGCGTGGAATTTAACTTTATTTTTCTAAAATAAAAGTAGCCTAAAGAACTAAAAATTATTTTGTTCGTCTTAATTTATTCGTTCCATTAGGTACTGATAGGTTCAAACTAATACATTTACATCCTGCATCATCCCTTATTTTATCCCCATGGGGGTTGAATTTATCAAAATCCTATTTAAGCGAACGTTTTCATCATAGTAGTTCCAATCTTTATTTTCAGTTCATTCAGTTTCGAAAATCTTAGCAGATTTATACAAAATTTCATCCCTTTTTTAATTCCTTGGGGGTAGAATTAATTAAAATCCTTTCTTAGCAGATGCCTACGTCATAACATCTACCTGCATGCCAAATTTCAGCCCGATCCATCCAGTGGTTTGGGCTGTGCGTTGATAGATCACTATGTCAGTCACCTTTGAGTTATATATATATTTAGATAGAAATAGGAAGTCCCTAAGATACATATGGGACACTCACTTAAATTTTACAATTAACTTTTATAATTTTTTTGTGTGTAATATATATATTTTTTTTTCTCTCAAGGGGGGAATATCTATGGGACACAGTCACCTAGATACATAAAATAATAATTGCATTTAATAATGTCTAGTAAGACAAATTCAATATTGTCTACTAAGCACTGCTGTGTCTAAACTGTGTCACCCCACCTTACATTTTCCTATTGTCATTTAGTATATAAGATCATTATTTCTATGTACATATTGTCAGTTTATCATCATCTGTAATATACATCGTCTCGACCAACAACATCGTATTATTCACCCGCAACAATACACAAAAATACTGTTGAATATTTCGCCGTTACGTCTCAATATATTTACGAAAATATCATGTACGCTAGGAAAAATATAGACAGTTTCAAAAGAGTTGGTGATTACACTAATAAAAGCTTACGTAACAATGACAAACTAATTTTACCTAAATGTCGTTTCACTAAAGTTAGTAATTCGTTTTATGGTAATTGCGTAAGGTTTTATGACAAACTACCAGAGTCTGTTATAAATCTGCTCGAATAATAATTCAAATATTGTACAAAACCTTTGGAATAGTAAAAAAAATATATCTTATTACTATTTTAATACTAAACACACATACATACATACACATGTACACACAAGAAGTAATAGATGATAAGCATATTTTTTATATATTTTAAAATTAGTATATATATCTGATTGAACAGAGATTAAGTGCGTAACAGTTTCTATGTTGATTGTCGCATGCCTAATCCTTGTTGTTAATTAAATATAAGTAAATCAATATTTATTTAAAAGAGCAACACACAAGTTTCTTGCTTATTCGTCTTGTGATGAATCTGCATTCCGAATAGGCGGTAGAATAAAAAAAACTTGACTCTTCAAATCAAATCAAATCAAATCAAATTTATTTGCACTAAACATAGGTTTACATTGGTTGTTATTGTAATATAATGTCCCATTATGTTTTGCCTTAGGCATGCAAAATATATAAATTTTAAATATTATTTAATTATTAAATCAATTGTCATCAGAAAATTATAAATACATATTATTATTATTACATTATTATTAATTTAAAAACTCGTTTACGGAGTAAAAACATTTGTCGAGTAACCAACTATTTAATTCATATGTCAATCGTCCTCGTGGAAGTGTCTTTATATCATCTGTATTATCAAAAGTGCTTATATTAAGTTTATTTGAATAAAGATTATTTCTATTTCTATTTCTTTTTATGGCAATGGGTAAAAGTTATCTCAATTTGCAGGTGGATGGTATATTAAACCGTTTACACGTGGCTGTGCCAACACCTCGCGACGGCAAGTCCCGTCCCCCCGTTATACCACCATCCGTGGTGCTCAAGAAGCAGCAGATGGCAGAGAAGGAGGCCAGGAAACGGAAACTGGAACGGGAGATTGAGATCGAACTGGGAGATGATTACGTCCTAGGTGAGATTATGACAATTTTTTTTATGGATGACTACCTGTTCCCGTGACTTCGTCCGCGTGGAATTTAACTTTATTTTTTTTAATTAAAATAGTTTAAGTTACTCCTTACTAGTCAAGAATTAAAGAGCATGATGGAAGATCGCGGAAAGTGGCAAGAGCTCCACCGACAAGAGCGTAGCTCTTAAGTTATAAATGAATGAATGAAGTTACTCCTTATTGCATCAGATACATGCCAATAAAAGCCCCGGCAAATTCGGTCCAGCCATTTCAGAGATTAGCCGGAACAAACAGACAGACAGACAAAAATTGTAAAAAATATTATTTTGGTGTATGTACTTTATTTATATTCATATGCATGTAGTAAAAAACGGTTATTTCATTATTACAAACAGACACTCCAATTTTATTTATATGTATAGATAATGTAATGGGGCACCCGCCTGCGCTATCGGTTTACGCGGGGCACCAATGGAGGATGATAAGATGAGCATGAGATCAGGTCAATTAGCCCATCGTGATAAATTCACCAGAAATTTATCACGATGGTTTCCAGGGGGCACCGCGTGGAGTTCAACCTGACATGGTACATTGCTAGTAATGGAGTCATGAGTCCACATTACTAGAATTCCTCCCTTATTGGGCTATTTCCCTTCGACGAAACTGCAATAGCATATGCTGGTGGTCACCCATCATCTGCTTCTTCCTTATCCCATTTATTTGGGATCGGCGTAATATGTTTTTCACTACTCGATGGATTCATATTATTTTGTTTAATTCCGCTGCAATTAACATGTGTGAGACTCGTAGTCTCACACATATTCGGTGTGGAAACCTGACCAGCGCTACGACCTTCTCCAGTGGCGATCAAATCCCGACCGTTATTGAGTCTACACCCATATCGCGACACGTGTATCGCCTCTGAACGAGGCATCATCAGGCGTTAATTAGAGTTCGGGTACAGCTCGGAAGCCTAGTGTTGACTCATCGGCGATCAAACCGCGACTTTCCGAGTCGAATATTCTGGAGAAGGTCGTAGCGCTGGTCAGGTTTCCACACCGATTATTCGTAGTCTCACACATGTTAATTGTAGCAGAATTAAACAAAATAAAATAAATCCATCGAGTAGTGAAATGGACTTCCGCAAAATAACACCTAATTCGATTAAATATAATGTTTTTCTCTTCCATTCATTTAGGGATCACTATATTCTCCCAAATTTGAATTTAAAAATGAATCTGTATTTTTGTAAACATGTACAACATTTATTCGAAAAGGGTGAGAGCTGAGTTTCTTGTTAGTTCTGGGTTACAAAGCATTCTGAACTGACGGTACATTTTGACATATCATAATAGACAGACCTACATAAATAAAGATATTTTTAAAATTGAGTTTAACTAATAACTCTTAATAAGATTTTTAAATCATTAAATAGTAAAAACAAAGTCGCTGTCTGTCCGTCCCTATGTATGCTGAAATCTTTAAAACTACGCAACGGATTTTGGAGCGGCTTTTTTATTGATTGATTTGATAGTAATGTTCTGTGTTCATTATTTTCAGACCTTAAGAAGAATTACAGCGACATACCAGAAGAGGAGCGGTACGACCCTATACCGGAGTTCTGGGAGGGGCACAACATTGCCGACTATATAGATCCGGATATATTCGAGGTATCATACCATATATACCAGGCCTATGTCCAGCAGTGGACGTCTTCCGGGCTGTGATGATGTTGATGATGAACATACCATATATATATATCATATTTCTTTAGTAATACTAGCAGATCCACCATATATCTTTAAGCTATAATACTAGCAGATCCGGCCACGCGTTGCTGCGGCTAAGGTTCTTGAATAAAATATTGCGACTATAAATTGAGATGTAAGCTATCCTATCTTTCAAGTTGGATCAAATTGCACACAATGTGCAAATCAAATTTGCAATCGGTTCAGTAGTTTAGGAGTCCATCGCGGAGAAACAACGTGACACGTGATCAGCCCGATCGGTTTAAAATTGACAAAGTTTCATCCCCTATTTTATTCCCTTAGGGGTAGAATTAATCAAAATCCTTTCTTAGCGGATGCCTACGTCATAACATCTACCTGCATGCCAAATTTCAGCCCGATCCGTCCAGTGGTTTGGGCTGTGCGTTGATAGATCACTACGTCAGTCACCTTTGAGTTATATATATATATAGATTAATAAAATAAGACAGAAATAGGTCGTCGACAAACAAAATAACTTCCTGACATATCACAGAAATTAGTTGGAGAGTTTTGTCAACTCTAATCGATCTCTATTTTACAGAAACTAGCGGAGTTGGAGAAAGAAGAAGAGTTGCGAGAAGCAGGTGGCATGTACGCAGTGCCCAAACTGGAGCTGGACCAGACCATGCTCGAGATACGAGACCTCGCCCGTCAAATACGGTGAGCACACAACATAACATAAATTACTAATAGAAATAGAAATAATCTTTATTCCAATAAACTTAATATAAACACTTTTGAATAGTCAAGTTTTTTTATACTACCGCTCATTCGGAATGCAGACTCATCACAAGAAGAATGAGCAAGAAACTTGTGTGTTGCTCTTTTAAATAAATATTGATTTACTTATATTTAATTAACAACAAAGGATTAGGCATGCGACAAACAACATAGAAGTCGATACGCACTTAATCTCTGTTCAACTACTAACTAATTTTAAATAAATTCAAAACATCTGTTAAATAATATTTACTGAGCAAAGCCTATTACTCACTAAACGATTACTTAAATGACGAGCGTGCATGGCAATAGTTGTTCATGCACTGGATGTTCATTTAATGTTAGACATAGACACCTATATACCTATACATTGTAAATTAACTGGTTTTTTTAAAAAAAAGTAATTCAATTGAGTTTCTTGCCAGTTTTTCTCCATTGGATCTATATACCGAATAAATAAAAAAAATAAAATTTTAATATAAAGAATTTGACGTTCATAAGCGGCTAATATGTCCTACATGAATAAGAAAGAAAGAAAGAAAAACTATTTATTCAGTGCTTTTCAACAATGTTACAATATATAAAAAATAATGATTTTTGAATTTGAAACGGTTGCAGCAACAAGAAGGCAATACTGAAGGACGAGTCGCGTCTCACGAAGCAGTCCACGAAGCCAGTCATGCCGCGGACTTCCAGAGCACGCGCTCGAGGAAGATCAGCGTCCATGCTGCGAGGGGAGATGGAGAAACTGGGTAAGCAGTTTATTTATGACTGCAATAACTGGGATTTGGGACTCTCGGTGTCGACATCTCTAGTACTGTTGAGTTCCGCAGTCACCTGGAAGAAAAGGTAAAGCTGGCGTCCAGGAAGCTCGGTGTGCTCAATAGAGCGAGGCGGTACTTCACTGCGGACCAGAGACTTCTCTTTATAAGTCACAAGTTCGGCCGCACATGGAGTACTGCTCTCATCTTTGGGCGGGAGCACCTGGATACCAGCTCGGTCCTTTTGACTCGGTTCAGAGACGTGCTATGAGAATTGTCGATGATCCCAATCTCTCTGGCGGTATCAAGCCACTCAGCTTGAGGCGAGACTTCGCCTCGCTTTGTGTGTTCTACCGATTATACAACGGACTGTGTTCTGAGGAATTGTTCGACATGATGCCGACAGCCACCTTTTACCACCGCACCGCTCGCCATCGACAGGGAATTCATTCCCACACGCTGGAACCTAAGTGGTCCCGAACAGTGCGGTTTCAGAGGAGTTTCCTCCCGCGTACACTTAGATTGTGGAATGAACTTCCTGCCGAGGTTTTCCCACGAGACTACAGCATGGGGTTTTTCAAGAAGGGTATATTAAGGTTTCTTAAGGGTCGCCAACGCGCACGTGACACCCCTGGTGTTTCAGGTGTCCATAGGCTACGGTAACCGTTTACCATCAGATGAGCCGTATGCTAGTTTGCCACCTAAGTGGTATAAAAAAAAAAGCATGCAAGAGCTAACCTTTATTGCGTGCGGTTATTTTGACACGGTTATAAAACCGTTATGGTTTGTGTCCGGTAAGATGTTCTAATTTTACATAAAAAAATATCCTACCTGATCTATTTTAAGTTAAGTGTTATTTTGTAGAAATCGATTCCTTGTGAAACTATTTGTAAACTTTTAATTTTATTAAAATGTCGAACTTTGTGTAAATGAACTTTCGTCTACCAATAATCATAGAATAGAATAGAATAGAATAAAATAGAAAATCATTTATTCAAATAAACTTAATTTAAGCACTTTTGAATAGTCATAACAATTTGTTTTTTATCTACCACTCATTCGGAAAGCTGTCTCATCACAAGAAGAACGAGCAAGAAACTTGTGTGTTGCTCTTTTAAATAATCCTTGTAAGTTTACAAGGATTATATATCGAGACCACTTAGGTTTCAGCGTATGGGAATTAATATACCCTTCTTGAAGAACCCCATGCTGTAGTCTCTCGAGAAAACCATGCTTGATGGTAGTGGCTTTATTGGCCTTTGCACGGTGTAGGCTAATAAACTCTATCTATTGCTGAAAACTGTATGTAGGCTAATAAACTCTATCTATTGCTGAAAACTGTATGTAGGCTAATAAACTCTATCTATTGCTGAAAACTGTATGTAGGCTAATAAACTCTATCTATTACTGAAAACTGTATGTAGGCTAATAAACTCTATCTATTGCTGAAAACTGTATGTAGGCTAATAAACTCTATCTATTACTGAAAACTGTATGTAGGCTAATAAACTCTATCTATTGCTGAAAACTGTATGTAGGCTAATAAACTCTATCTATTGCTGAAAACTGTATTAAAATCTGTTGCGTACTTTAATAGATACATGCGAACACGACTTAAGTTTATGCTGTGTAAAGATTTCATTGAAGGCCTCCAGCAAGGTGGGCCGACGATCTGGTCAAGATCGCTGGTATTGGATGCGAGCAGCGCAGGACCGGTCCTCGTGGAGATCTTTGGGGGAGGCCTTTGTTCAGCAGTGGACGTCTTCCGGGCGGAGATGATGATGATGATGATGATGAAAGATTTGATTTGGATAGTTTTTTTTAATAACTTTTTTATTTCCTAATCAGCGAACTAATGAACAAATATTTATAATGTGTAATTAAAATCTAATGCAGGTGTGGACATGACGGATACGAAGGAGGCTCACTTCACCCGCACGCGGTCAAAGTCGCGCGGCCGCTCCCAGTCCGGCCCGTCCGGCCCGGACGGCTCGTCCGGTCCGGTCGCCAAGCGAGCGCGCGCGGACTCCCACGGCCGCTCCGTCAGCCGGCCCGCACGGGACCAACAAGGCGTCAAAGATGTTGTTGTAAGTATCCTGAAGAGATTCTGTTGTTCGCAAGATTTGTTTATGTATGACTAGCTGCGCCCCCGGTTTTAGCCGCATGAAATTTGTAGACTATATGTTATTGTTAGGGAAAATACTCTCTGCTACCAAAATGTTAGGGAATTTACTATGTATATATATAGGGAAAAACGTCTGTCACGTACCTGTATGGTTCTGCGGATTTCTTGAGCTTCAGGGTCTCGAAGATATCTTAGCTAGCTTTCCAGTTTCACAGTAGATTTAACACAGTTCTAATTTATTTTAATTCACAACAAATGCGCGCGCTCGTCAAGGCCGCTGTACGGTCAGTTCAGTACTGGGTAAGGGAGGGGAAGTGAAAGCGCGGGAACAAAAAACTAACGGACTCTAATATAATAATCTGTGCTTACGATGTTACAGGGTAGATTTTGAACACTTATTGTAATGAATCTGATGTATCTGAATCTGACGACCTCGGTGGTGTAGCGGTCAAGCACACCGCTTTACGACAGATGGTCGCGGGTTCGAATCCTCGCACGGCACTAACATTTGTACTCATGAGTATAGAAATATAATTGCGGACGCAGACCGCAATTATGTTTTCTATATATATTGTGTATTTACAAAAATATATATCTCTGTATTTATATCAGTTGTCTAGTACCCATAACACAAGACACAAGATCGACTCAGCTTGGGACTAGATGGCGCTGTGTTAATTGTCATTATGATAAAAATACAAATAAACTGAAATATTGTATTCTTCTTATAGATGCAGAAGAAAGCGAAGAAACTGGCTCACGTGGCGATCGCCAAGAAAACAAAGAAAATGGGTCTCAAAGGCGAAGCGGACAGGTTTATCGGAACGAAAATGCCCAAACATTTGTTCTCTGGAAAGCGGGGCGTCGGCAAGACAGAAAGGCGATAGTTATATATATACAGTGTTGTTATGTTTATATTCACGCAATATCGCATATGGGGTGTACAGAGAGTGCCTATTGCAGTGTTTCCTAACATTTTCAATGCCATCCTTTTAAGCTTTTTAAAATTCTTTCATTCATTCTTTTAAAAGTTTTAATTGTTCGATAGAAACTTAATAAGTTTTAGTATAATCACTAGGATTTTGTTAATGAAATTGTAAGTAAAAAATGATGAATAGATCTATGTAGGTCGCAGCGCTACAGGTCCAAGCAGTTCCTTTTTTTTATTGGGTTGTTTGGGCTGTCATCAGCCCAAACACCCCAATAAAAAAAAGGAAATTTTCAAAATTTGATGATAAATTGAAATTCATATTTCATTACATACAAGTCCATTTCCCCACCATCATTGTCCACCCCCCTCTTTTACAATCAGATTGCCCCCCCTGTGGGACGTGGGCTCCCGTACGTTCTCGTTGGGAAACACTGGTCTAGTGCAAATACATATATGTTACATCCAAACTATACAGATTGGTCCGATTTTCATTTTTCTTTATATATATATACTTTAGTGTATCAGTAAAAAAGTGCCTAATCACATTTGAAAGAAAGACTTGTTGTGTCCAAAACAAACTGCTATATAGTGTGATCCGATTTTCATGATTCTTTATATACACTTTTCTATATCTGTAAAAATTGCCCAAACCACATTTACAAGGCGTATAAACTGTGTATTTACCTTGTGTAATTAAAACATTTATGTATTTTAAATTGTGTATTATTTTTACCATGTTTTGGAAATGTTATTTGTTTTATGTATGAATTTGGAATGAAGATCTCGTCAGCACTAATGGTGTACCAGTGATCAAACTTATAAGGTACATTTCTATACAACAATGGGACCATAAGACTCCGTTGCTAACAATCCCTTCCTACGGCCTTGCCAGCTTGACCTCCACGCGGTCCCCCCCTGGAAAATAGCAAAATAAAATTGGAGTGTCAGTTTGTAATATTGAAATAACCGTTTTATACTACATGCATATGAATATAAATACATATGCATGTAATAAAAAATGTTATTTTGGTGTATGTAACCAAAATAACATTTTTTACAATTTTTGTCTGTCTGTCTGTTTCGGCTAATCTCTAAAATGTCTGGACCGATCGTGACGGGACTTTTATTGGCAGGTAGCTGATGTAATAAAAATTAACTTATGCTACTTTTATTTTAGAAAAATGAAGTTAACTTCCACGCTTGAAGTCGCTGGAACAGCTAGTATTTATATATAAAGACTAGCTCTTTTCCATATGAGAAGATGTACGACATGTGAATCTTTTTTATTTTTTCAATGCAATATAATTTCAATATTGCCATTATCTAGTAATAATCACCTGACAGTTTTAATATATACCTACCTACGGGGGGGGGGAAAGAGATTGTTAGTAATGAGGATCACCACGCGGCCAGGTCGACCTCCACGCGGTTCCCCTGGAAACCATCGTGATAAATTCCTGGTGAATTTGTCACGATGGGCTAACTGATCTGACCTCATGCTCATCTTATCATCCTCCACTGGTGCCCCGCGCACCCGCCTGCGCTAACGGTTTACGCTGGCGGGGCACCATTCCATTATCATCCACAAAAAAAATTACCTACCTACGTAATAACAAATACAAATGTACAAACAACATGTAAGCGACTGTCAGAAAGAATAATGTAATATTTATACAACTGTTGTATTTATTATTAACTCACCTACAAATATAATTGTAATCTATATATATATATATATTGTTTATTACATTACAATTAGGGTTGCCAACCTTTTTTAAAAAAAAACGTATAAACTGGTTTGGATAGGCAGGGGCGAATCAGAGCCAGGGCCACGAGGTTACAAAGGGCCCCCAGTCCCTACTGAAGCTATATTTAGAATATAAAAAAATATCTAGAATATTAAAAAACCTATCATAAGGTTGTCAACGCTGAGAGCAATCAACACATGCAAGTGCGCGTCTATTGAAAGGAACGGGAATTGTGTTTTTGGTTGGTGGGACCCTAAGTTAATAGATTTAGCCCAGGGCCCCACAAATTCACGGTCCGCCCCTGTGGATAGGTGTAGCAAACTCCTTCATAGGTTTTTATACTATTTTTGAATTATATAATCATATTTTTTTGACATATTATTTTTAATACATCTAAATATATATAACTCAATGGTGACTGACATAGTGATCTATCAACGCAAAGCCCAAACCACTGGACGGATCGGGTTGAAATTTGGCATGCAGGTAGATGTCATGACGTAGGCATCCGCTAAGAAAGGATTTTGATTAATTCTACCCCCAAGGGGATAAAATAGGGGATGAAAGTTTGTATGAAACTTTGTCAATTTTAAACCGATCGGGCTGATCACGTGTCACGTTGCTTACCCATAATTAATATTTTGTTTTACGCATCACAGTAAAGGTTGAAATTAAAGTATTTTTGCATACTTTATTTTGTATGTAAAAGTATACTTTTAGTACCAAATAAAGTAGGAGACTTTATTATAAAGTATGGTTGGCAACCCTAATTACTATGACCTCTCTACTGACCTCAATACTACAGAATAGAATAAAATTAATGTTTATTTTTGTTACTGCAACCCATCCCGGCTTCACATAGGTCTAATATAAGTACCATTTTGATTTAACTATTTGTTTTTATGAAAATTGGTAACCTGTCAGGAAGTCAGTAAGGTTCCTCTTAATTAAAACTAAAATATAAGTTTGTTGAAATTAAATTATGTAAAGGACAATTCTGTTCTAAATTACCTAAATACTTATAAATAACGTATTTATTTGTATAAGGATTAATTCCATTTTGATTTTTTTTTCTCCTCTTTTCGCTCCGGCGATTTGTGTTTTTGCCATTAGGCATTTTATAGTTTTTTTTTAAAAGTGGAGAAATCGATGCGTTTTAAAAAAATAGTAATATAGAAATAGAATTACAGGATCAGGAGAGTTAGCTGTTTGTTTTTATAATAATAAATATTGCCTTTTATAAATATTTCTTCTTTTATTAAAACAAAAATATCTCCTAAAGTTTGTTGAAATTAAATAATGTAAAGGACAATTCTGTTCTAAATTACCTAAATACTTATGATAAATAACGTATTTATTTGTATAAGGATTAATTCCATTTAGATTTTTTTTCTCCTCTTTTCGCTCCGGCGATTTGTGTTTTTGCCATTACCCATTTTATAGTTTTTATTTTTTAAGTGGAGAAATCGATGCATATTAAAAGAAATAGTAATGTAGGAATAGAATTACAGGATCAGGAGAGTTAGCCGTTTGTTTTTATAAGAATTGCTAAAATATCAGGAAAAAGGTTATTTTTTTGTTAAAACAAAAATGTCTCCTAAAACTTGTTGAAATAAAATAATGTAAAGGATAATTTTGTTCCAAATTATATACTTACAATAAATAACATATTTATTTGGATAAAGATATCATGTTTATAGAAACACCTTCGCAAATAATGCATTATTTTAGAAGAAATTTGATTACCATAAAAAAGTGAGTTAACCTTAAAAAACAGATATGTATGTTGTCGCGTGCTTGATTTAGAACTTTTGATAGAAAACGATTCCGTTATAAAATATGTAGGTATAATGTATATATTTTTTGACGCTCCTCTTTCACACAAACTACTGAACGGGTTTTGTGACGTTACAGTAACATAGTTTATACGTCAGAATGACACATAGGCTATAATTTAAAAAGATATTATCTAAAATGGGCGATATATAATGAAAAGTGTGATCCAGACATCGCTCGGGTCAGGTAGTATTTATATAGCCTACCTACCACTTATGAGAAATGCAATTTCAGCACAAGATTGAGCAAAAATCTTTTTTTAGGGCACCGACGATACAGTCGATGGTCTAGCGGTTCAGCACATCGTCTTAGAATAGAATAGAATAGAAAATCATTTATTCAAATAAACTTACATTGAAGCACTTTTGAATAGTCATCACATTTCTTTTAATCTACCGCTCATTCGGAAAGCTGTTTCATCACAAGAAGAACAAGCAAGAAACTTGTGTGTTGCTCTTTTAAATAATTTATTCTTACTTACAATTTACATAAGTTTAAGTGTGTGAATACAAACCACCGATTAGCACTAATTCAATGAAATAATAAAATAGAAAAAGCATTCAATATACAACAACTGGTTAAACAATTAATAAGAGAAAATAAGTCATAGTGATTAGAGCAGACCAGTCCACACAAGCAGCACCCGTTCACGAGTACGACGGATGAGCCAGCCACCACTGCGCTCGACCATATTTTAGGGAGCCCAATGACCCGGCCCACCACGCCGCCACAAGTCTGGACATTTTAGTGAGCATGACTACTCAAAACACCAGACCACGTCAAAGCTACTCACAATTGCCATCTGATGGTTATAGTATTCACATTTCACATAAGAATGCATGCGGCAATCAATACAAAAACCGCTACGCTTTCATCTCTTCACCTCTTACTTTCGAAGGTCGCGGGTTCTATTCCTCGCACAGTACAAACTTTTGCATTCACAAGTATGATTGTTTGTATCGGTCTATATTTTCATGTATGTGTTTATAAAAACAGAAATTATATACCTACTTAGTATTTTTATGAGTTATCTAGTACCTGTTATCTAATTCTAGTTATCTGATTGACCAGAGATTGAGTGCGTAGCGGTTTCTATGTTGTTTGTCGCATGCCTAATCCTTGTTGTTAATTAAATATAAGTAAATCAATATTTATTTAAAAGAGCAACACAAGTTTCTTGCTTATTCTTCTTGTGATGAGTCTGCATTCCGAATAAGCGGTAGAATCAAAAACTTGACTATTCAAAAGTGCTTATTAAGTTTATTTGAATAAAGATTATATCTAAGTATTTCTATTTCTATTACCCTAAAACTGGCTCAGCTTAGCTTGAGACTAGATGGCGCTGTGTGAATAATCTTGGAATATTATTATAAAACTGCTTTTATTTATTATTATTATATATTGTTTAAATAATAAACTAGTTAATAAACTACTGTAAACATTACAGATGTGTACAAATAAATTGTTAAATACATAAATGCAACACAATTGCATAATTGTATCGAATAGCTGTCAACGCAGCGTATGTACTGTTATTGCAGTATGTCATTGTTCATATATAATTTATTACATCAATACATATATTGGTAATCCATCGGAGCAATATGCAATACTGCAACCCTTAAATACTGATTAGAAATAGCTACTCTTATTTTTTAACTTTCGCATTTCGATTATTAAAATAGTTAAACTGGTTATTTTATCTATACATATAAATAAAATTGGAGAGTCTGTTTGTAATATTGAAATAACTGTTTTTTACTACATGCATATGAATATATATACGGTACATATACCAAAATAACATTTTTTATAATTTGTCTGTCTGTCTATCGGTCTGTTTGTTGCGACTAATCTCTGAAATGGCTGGACCGATTTTGACAGGACTTTTTTGGAACTTTTATTTTTGAAAAAATCTTTTATTTTAAAAAAATAAAGTTAAATTCCACGCGGACGAAGTCGCGGGAACAGCTAGTGGTAAATAAAGGTATTTATCTCTCGATGTTCCTACTAGGTTCCACTAGCCAGTACTGATACGATACAAACTGTTACCATGACAGTAAAAAATCAAATCAAATTCACAATATCTTCATTCATGTAGGTCTATTACAGACTTATGATACGTCAAATCT